AAGAGAACGCCAAAAAAGAAAAAAAAAAAAAAAAAAAAAAAAAAAAAAAACAGCCAATTTTTTGAACTAAAAATAGGCTAAGGGGCTGGAGATTTAGCTCAGTGATGCCACTGCCTTCCTCGTAAGAGCAAGGTCCCAAGTTCAATCCCTGGTACCAAAACAAAAAAATAAAAACAGGCTAAGGATTTGAAGAGACATTTCTCCAAGGAAGACATACAAACGGGTGTATGAGGAGGTGCTTGGGGCTGAGGTACAGAAATATCATAATACTACACCTTCTATCCTACCGCTGAGGGTATTCAGGACAGGGCCTCTTATGAGGCCCTTATAAAAATCTCTAAGCCAGGAACAAAGAGAGACAGGAAAGCGGTTGGTGTCCCCATCCTGACACCACCTTGCTATGTGACTTTGGGCCAGCTGCTTCCCTCTCTGGCCTCAGTCTCTTCATCTACCAAATGGACAGGTGGCACCAAGCTGAGAAAAGCCTAAAAGAACCATAAAAGGTCACCTGCGGGGCCCTGAAGCTGAGCCTGGGACAGCAAGTGTGACGGATGTGGTAGGCGAAGGTGCTGGCCGCCCAGGCGAGGGTGGCTTCTCCTCCTCCATGAGGGGACGGCTGTCGGCATCCGTGTCTTCCACCTGCACTTCAGGGTGCTCTTCTGTGGCAGGCACTTGGGAAACGGAAGGAGGGATAGGGTCAGGGAGACAGAAAAGCGGATCCGCGGGCCTGGCTGCATGGGAAAGTCAGATGCCTGGCACAGGTCTGATGAGGCCTCTGGCAGCCTCAATCACTGAAGGATCCAGGGGTGAGGTCCAAGAATGCATGGTCCTCTGAGGGCCACAAAAGGAGAAGCCAAGTGCCACAGAAGCCACCCCAAAGCCCAGCCTGGTTTCTTTGAGACTAGAGGGCAGCAGTGACCAGTGGGTGGCGACACTCTGAGAGGACATGGGAGCCAGTCAGGGTGGGGTGGCAGATGGGGGCCTAGTCTAGCATAGCCTGGGTCCGCTGCTGCCCCTCTCGGAGCCTCAGTTTCCCCGTCGCAAGGTAGAGGTGGCAATGCCTTCCAAGCCTGTGGGGGAGGGGTGCGTATCAAGCACCACCCCTGCCCATGTAGCAGAGTGGGCGGCTTCCACAGAACGCGTTAGCCTTCGCTTCAGTCAGCCCATTGCTGGGCCTCTGAGAGGCCTTGCTCCACACCTCAGAAGCAGGACTTCCCTGTGGGGCAGGGGCACAGCCCTACCTCAGCTCCACCTCTCTGCTGCAGGACTGGGACAGGTCTGCCCTGAGTCCAAGCTCAGGCTGGGGATGGTGCCCTACCTCCCACATACCACGGGGAGCAGCACCCAGCAGCTCCCAACCCCAGGACTGTGCATTAGCAAGGCAGGAGAGGGGGAGCGTTTGGGAATAACTGGATTTGTGATCTTTATTCTCCCCCAGTGCTGGTGATGGGACTGAGGGCCACAAGCATGCCATGCAAGTGCTCTGCCATGGAGCTACATCACCTGCCCCCATTCATGTGCTTTTTTAAATGATCATCGTGGAGAAAACCTTCACTTAGTACACTTGCTTGTACTTATTTTATTATACTTTGACAGAGGCAACAAAAGGAAGCCTCAAGACCTTTTGGCATTTGTTTTACTAAACTCCAGGCCCTCTAGGGAAGAGCAGGAATGGGGACATATTTTTAAACTTCAAGAGAAATCTTGCCAGACTGACAAGAAATTCCCCCAGACTCTGAGAAGGAACGGGCCTTGCCCTGCCGTCCCACAGCCCTGGAGGGGTGAGCTGGGTGCAGGGCATGGGGCAGCCAGGTCATCGTAGCTCTAACACACTCAGGGCATCTGCAGCGAGCTACCTCAGAGAGCCAAGGAGGGGCAGGTGTGCCCCAAGCCCTGCCCGGCCCTGGGTCAGGTCCTGCATTTCTCCATCCCCCAGGAGAGAAGGGAAAAATCCTAGACTGGTACTGTGTTCCATTTCCCACCAGCTCAGTATGGTGGGAACTCAAGATAGAAATGCTATTGATTCATGTTGTGTTGAGGTGTAGACTAAGAATAATAGCATTCGAAATATAATCATTTTACGTTATTAAGTTGGTAGAGAATATCTGCTGTCAAATTTGTCAGCATTTGTTTTGCTATATATATTTTGTTAGTTTATTTGTTTTGGAAACAGGGTCTTATTATGTTCCCCAGGCTGGCCTCAAACTCCTCCTGCCTCGGCCTTCCTAGTAGCTGAGACTCTAGGAGTACACACCCTGTATTAACTCTTCTGATTTTCCCAGCTGTTCTACAGGGTGGCTGTTAGTTTTGTTCCATGTGTGGGAGAGAAACTGAGGCACAGAGGTGCTAGAGCACCTGCTGCAGAGCCAGGGCTGGGACCCAGCTCAGAAGGTGCCCTGTGGTCTCACTGCCAGGGGAGCAGCACTCTTGCTCTCCCTGCTCACGCCCCTGTGGGGAGAGCCTGCAATCATCACATGCCATACCACTGCCTGGCAGCAGGGGGCGCGGGGACCAAGGGGCACCCAAGATGGTTTGAGGCGTCCAGATCAAGGGAAAGGATAACAGAACAAGAACAGGACTCCTGTTTGAAGTCTCTCTCCATCCTGAATACGCAAAGGGGAGGTCTCAGGTTGATGCCCCCAGGGCCTCACTTGAAGCGTCTCGGACACAGCTGAAGCCCTTGGGGCTGAGAATCCAGGGCTCTCTGAGCCCCACAGGCCACTGCAGCCCCCAGCAACTCTTGGTCTATTTTGTTTTAGTGTCTGTGGTTATTTCTATTGATGTGGTCTATTTATAGCAAGCAATGCTGGTTTTCCATTTGAATAGGAATAAGAAATTTCCCTGTTTAAATACATTTAAATAGAAAAAGAGGCACCTGAGAGAGAAAAGTAGAAAATAAAAGTAGAGTTGGTCCAGAATGTAACAATAACTGGGGGAGTGGTTAGTGCGGCTGGAGGTTGGGGGGACCCTCTGCAGAAGTAGATTTAAGATTTGTCACAGGAAGACAGAGCCTGGTTACCACCCCTTGTTACGCAGGTGACCTGAGTGCCACTTCCCCCACTCTGTGTCATTGGGCACCAGGAAGGAGAGAGAAGAGGTGGGGTCTCCACTGAGCCAGTGTTTGTTCACCTCCCTGGACTCATTGCAGTGTCATCCACAGGTGACAGACACGTAGGGTAGGGGGATTTCAGGCAGGAAGCGATCGTGGATGAGTCTGGAGGCACAGTACTTCCCCTAGCACCTTGTTCCCCAGCCCAAAGGCCCAGGGACCTTGTCACAGTTAAATGGCTCCAAACAGGCCCTCCCTCTGTGCTGCCCCTAAGGACATGGCTTCTGTGAGCCTGCCTGCCTATACCTGGCAGCTGCCCCTTTCCTGAAGTGGGATCTGCTGAGCAGGTATCAACAGTTCAGCTCCCAGCCAGGCAAGGTGGCCCATGCCTGGAATCCCAATTCCTTGGGAGCCTGAACCAGGAGGATCCCAGTTCAAAGCCAGCCTGAGTAACTCAGCGAGACACTATCTCAAGATAACACAAAAAGGGTTGGGGATGTAGCTCAGTGATAGAGTGCTTGCCTGGCATGTGCAAGACTCTGTTTTCAGCCCTAGCATCCTTCCTCTCCTCCCCATCCTGCCCCCCAATCTAGCTCCCAGCAAACTCAGCATCAGCAGATTCTTACTGCAGTGTCCCCCATTACCCTTCCATTTCCCTCCAAGTGTCCTCCTTTCCTTTATTTGTTCTCTGTTCGAGTTTCATGGCTTGGGGATCTGAATCGAGTGACTTGTTTTAATTAGAGTGTGAGTGAGTGACTGTGTGTCTAAAAAATGATGACTACCAAAGCAATTCTGTAACCCAAAGAAGTGAACTGCTAATTGTGGAATTTTAGGCATAAAGGGAAGGGGACCCAAATCCCTCGAGTGACCGCAGAGCAGAATGAAGAAAGAGAAGGTAGCTTTCCATGAAGACAGCACACCCACAGCCACACATCCATGGAGGAAGATGGCCCAAGCCATGCAGAAGCGCAAGCCCCGGCACAGGCGTGCTGCACAGTGAGGTCACTCACACTACCTAGGCGACGGATGGAGGTCCTGGTCTCCTTGGCGAAGTTGGAGTTGGACAGAGCTGTTCTCCGAGAGACGAGGACAGGGATGCGAGTGACTGGAGGGCGGTAGCTGGGCACATTGGGGAGGTGCTCTGCCAGGTTTTGGGGGGCAAGCCTGGGGGCCACCTGGCCAGGTGGCTGGTCCCGGACCAGGTGGTTCAGCTCCATGTCTCGGCCTGGGTGAGTCATAGTTCTGGGGCCAGAAGGTCGCAGGCAGAGGTGTGACTGCAATCACAGTGTGGGGAAAACGTAAATTAAATGGCTCCAATACAGAGCACACTGGAGGCCCCCTGTGTTGGCAACAGCCCTTTGCAAGGTTGAAGCATCACGTTTGTCCTGAAGTTCAACATCAAAATTCACCGAAGCAAGTGGCTGGCCCACCCCACAGCTCCAAGGGACAGCACCAGATCCCCCCAGCTTCTCGCGCGCTCTTTCCTTACCAAGCATAGTAGCACTTCCTGTCTTAAATTAAAAAACAGACTCACAAAACCCAGTACTGTCTCTCGGAACCACAGAACTCTGGGCTTGAATAATCTTAGCCCGGTACAATTTTCTAGTTGCAAGAAACCCTAAAGGTCAATTAATTTCACTTCCAGCCAGAAGCAGTCACTTTCCCTAGGGCCCTGGTGCAGACTAGGCTGCATCCTGCAATGACCGATGACCGGAGGAGGTCTGAGCCCTCCTGATGGTCAGGCCTGCCCCCTACAATCTGACTTAATGGGCCAGGTGACGCCTGTCCAAGAATCTTAAAGTCTCCTCCGTGAGACTCTAAACTAGCACAGCCACTGTGGAAATCAGTACGGACATTCTTCCAAAAACTGAAAATAGAACTGCCATGATCCAGCTGCCCCACTCCTTGGTATACACCCAAAGGAATGAAGTGAGCCTACTACAGGGATATTGGTAAACCCACATATATCGAAGGACATACAATACATCACAGTCAAATACGCAACCAGCCTAGATGCCCATCAATTGCTGAAAGGATAAGAAAACTGCAGTATATTTAATATCACCAGGGAATATCATTCAGCCATTGGTGTGGCAACAGTACGACAAAAACTCTCAAGCTTTATTTACTCTTAATTTTTTGAATGAGGCACCTGACAGGCACACAGCAGCTGGACGCCACTGGCAAATCCAAAAATCCAAAGAGTTAGGTCACCTATTTATTATCGACCTCCACTCGAGAAAACCTGACTACCAGGCCGGGTTTTGAGGTGGGGCCGAGGTTATGCTTTTATTTCCACAGGTTATAAAAAGTTTTGGGTCATGACTCAAAACATAAAACTAAAAAATGAGCCAGAAACAAAAGTTTGTTACTCTGGGAATCACAAAAGACATAAAATGCCTACATATTGGCCGTCCAGAAGTTCCTGTGACTGTTCCGCTCCATTGCCTACCTGGGGCCAAATTAAACAGTTAACTGATGAAGGTCAACAAGTGGTTCAACAATCAGGACAACCAGTCACATCGACCACTTGTTTTTGGCTATGCTATCTTTAACTACTACACAGGTTCGTTAAACAGGTTATACTTATTGGGCTTGTATTCCAAATCCACCCTTAAATAAGATTGTTACCTGAAAAGATTATACTATCCCCACATATGTAAATAAGTCCATCTAGATGCCAGGAACCTATGATGATCATGGCCCTTTTAGGCCAAAAAAAAAAAAAAAAAAAAAGATAATTAAAAATTATACTGTTAAAAGAAAAGGTTTACCTATTTATATTAGATATAAAAAACATTATCTTAAAATAGCCCCCCAGGCATGGCTTTTGGTAATTCAAAATGCTGCCAAAAATTACGCCCTAAAAGATTGTTTCTTTTAAGTGTTAAAGCGTTTTAAAAAATTAATTCAAACAAACAAACAAAGTGCTCCTGATCTTCCACCTTGCCATACACCATTGTTAATCATCTCAGTGATTGGGTCCATTGGACTCAGTGCAGAGGTGAAACTGCTCAAATATTACTTAATACTTGCTATAAAGGTGTCATTGATTAGAGTCCTATGGGCTATGCTCAAACAGGGGTTATGGCTTTGATCTAAGATGGCCCAAAAAAGATCACACGATCACTACTAATAGTAAAAAAAGTAAGTCAATTGTGTGGCCTGGAGGTGGATTTGCTGCACCTAGCCCACATTTGCCCTTTCACCCTATCCAGTTTCATCTTTAAAAGGTGGGGGCTGCCCTTAAACCCTTAAAAACATAAAAAGATAATATATAAAAAGTCAAACTAATAATCATACTCAATTATCTTTTACGATTATAAAACCAGATATATTCAAACCTATGTTCATCTTCCTTTTATGTTTATGAGTGAGACTGCTACCTAAAATTAAACAACAGGGTTGATAACTTGTGTCAATTGTTCCTTTCTTACCTGTCTAAATCGTACTATAATGTTTAACATGAGTTCTCATAGTCTATATTCTAAAGACAGAAACAGGTGTATGGCCGCCTGTACACGTGACTAGGCAATGGCAGGATTCTCCTTCTAGCTTGATGCTACAACAAATTCTTAAAAGACTCCTAAAAAAAACATCCAAAAAGATGATGGAACTGATTATTGCAGCTGTTCTCAGGCTAACAGCCATTATAGCCACGGCAGCGACTGCTAAAGTTGCTCTCCATCAAGCTATACAAACTGCTGAGTTTGTCCAAGACTGACATAAAGATTCAAAAAAATTATTAACATCACAACATCAGACTGATAATAAACTTTCTAGCCAACTTGCCAACCTGCAGCAAGCTGTTGTAACGATGGGTGATCCAATTGTTAGTTTACAGCGCCAGATTCAATTGCGCTGTGATTCAAATGTATCCACCTTTTGTGTGACACCTATGCCTTATAATAAAACCGTATTTCCTTTAAAAAAGGTTAAAAAACATCTGCTTAATCACAAAAATATCTCATGAGATTTTAAAAGTACAAAACCAAATTAGAGAGACTTAGCAAAAACAATTAGAGATAATTAATGAGACTGATCTTGCCCAAAGAGTAATCGATGGTATTCAGGATTTAAATCTTTTCTCTCATTTAAAGGCTATGATAGGATCTTCTGTAGGATTGTTATTAATATCCATATGTATTTATATTATTTTCTGTATAGTCTAGGGGAGACGCCAGTGTCAACAAAGAGTAGCCTCTCAACAAGCCTTTCCTTGATGCTACATAAAAAAAAGCAAAAACAAGTATAAAGAAAAGGTTACATTAAAACACAGATTAAAAAACTGCAGTTGTGCTTCCCGCACACAGAGCCACAACTCAAAAGTTCAAGGCTACAGTCTTAAAAACCATCCGATAACATTCTAAAAAGTCTGTTTTTAAAAAATATATAAATAACTAAAACCAGGTGTTCATAAAAAATATTCTCTAATGCTTTGCTAGAGATAATCTATAAAAAACTGTTGATTCTCATGAAAGTATTGTGCATGCATCTAACAACACCAGGGTTGCTGAGAGTTGGCTGCCTTTGCCTGCGAGAGCTTCAGCCCTCTACTCCTTGACAAAACTACATTCCTGCCGTCTGCTGTTCTTCGCGTCCCTGATGACAAGCCATAAAGAATGAACATCACTGCATGAAAATGGATGGAACTGGAGAACATGGTATTAAGTCTGGCCACAATGAAACCCACATTTTATAAAATTAATATGCATTAGTAAAACATTAAATTAAAATCTCTCTCCTTATGATTCTAATGTGCAATCAAGTTTGAGAACCAGGGTTCATGGATGTCACCTTTCAGTTGCTAATGTGTAGACACATCCCCAGGAGATCTTTTATAATGCAGATTAGGATTCCACAGGTCTGTGTAGGGCCTGGGACTCTGCATTTCTAACCAGCTCCCAGAGGGCACCAAAGCTACTGGACCTTCTGAGAGTGATGAACAAATGGCCACGCCTCATTGCTTCTCAGAGTGCTGTTCCCAGAACAACTGCTTCCAAGTCACCTGCAAGCACCACAAGTGCACCTGTTTGGTCCTGAGCTTGCCCATTGTGTTACGATCCTATATCAGGCCTGGGCTCAGGAGGTCCCTACAGACTCATGTTGAAGTTCACAAAGACCAGTTGGGTTAGGACAGGGGCCAGAGCCTTCTCAGTGGCCAGATGGAGAGGTCACACATGGTCGCCTTTCTTACAGACTCCTCCCTCCAAACCACCCACAATGCTGGGGGGCCTCTGATGCGCTGTCTCTGCTCCTCTGCCAACAGGCCATGAGGTAGATACTGATATTGTTCCATTTTTCTCTGTTTGGGAGCCATGACTCAGAGAGGTCACAAAACTGGCTCTGGGACACACAGTGACGAAGGGGAGAGAAGATAGGAGTGAATGGCAGAACTTCTGGCCAAACCAAGTACACAGTGAGCCTCAATTTTGTCATTTGCAAAATGGTCACTCTGCCTTACCGGGTGGCTAAAGCACCGGTGGGTGGAGGGATGTGGAGATGTGTGAGGTGCACAAGGCCACAGGCCTCGTGGGTGCAATAGCCTGGCTCCTGTCGCATGGTTCCCGGAGTGCTCAGCATTGAGGGTGGGGTGTAAATCTCAGCAGAGTGAATGTGCTTGGTACAGCCTGGACACTCGGCAGTCAGGACAAGCTCACAGAGAGATGGGGACCCACTTGTCTGCAGATATGTTATGTCTCGGCCAAACCCCCACTTGGCCCTGGGCTGCATTCCCATTGGAGAGAAGATGGGAGGAGGGACTGATGGAGGCAGGGCTTCCCAAGCCGCCCCCAGGAGTCCTGGAGCCTCTGCTATTCCTTGCAACCTTGGAGAGATATCATTTGGCTGTGATAATGTGGCCTCAAGACACAGAGGATGGGTTTTGCCCAGGACAGGGCCAGTGGGGCAGCAGGGAGGGAGAGGAGAACGGTACGAACGCCCCAGATAGAAGGTGCCCTGAACATTCTGGTATGCAGAGCCTGAGCCCCACCTACCTGCTGAGCACACAGCCACAGCCTCCTCCTCCTCCCCCCGCAGCTCCTGCAAAAGAACAGAAGACACAGAAGCTGGAACAGTCACCCTCCTGACCGCATCCCTCCCCACACCCTGAACTTCACAGTGCACAGGCCCTTTTGGATTTCCTACAAATCCCCAGCAGGCATCTATGGCCCCATTTATACAGGTGGCCACCGAGGCTGAGGGCAGTCACATGAAGACTCAAGCCCAGGTCCACCTGTCCCCCAACCCCCTCCTGACAACATGTGTCCCCTGGTAAGGAGTGTGACCATCAACCTGCTCCCTCTGTCCATGGGCATCTCACCAGCTGAATCCCTGCCCACCCCTGTACATGCAGTGGACAAGCCCAGTCCTCCACAATACAAGCCCAGGCCCGGTGGTACCTGGCACCTGGGGCTCTCCGTACCTGCAGCGAGGCCTTCTGGCACTGGGTTTTGCCTATGTCACTCTGGCCCACACCTGCTTGTGCCACCAAACAGCTATCCAGCAGGACACTGGGACCCAGAGGGCTGGCAGGAAAGAGCAGAGATTAGAAGGGCTCAACGTGTCCTGACCCTCGCTGACAGCCAAGCTCTGGGCCAGAGCAGGGAGCACAGAGACTCCCAGGGCCAAGTCCTCACTTGATAAGGCTCCCAGGGTGGCATCCTCCTCTCATTCACCCCCTCTAGATGTGCTCAGCCAGGGGTGGGATACACAGAACATGCCAGGACTCTGCTGGGAAGGGAGACTTCCTGAGGAGGCGGTCTATGGGCAGGGCCTCGAGGGTGATGGTGTTAAAACAAGGTATAGGTGGGAAGGACAACGGGAAGGGCTGACAACATTTGCCAAGAAAAGTACAAGGGTGAAGGGTGCTGGGAGGAGGGGCCCACAAGGCCCTGTACCCGTCTCCAGGCCACCTTGGGGCTGCAGGCAGGGTGGGGAGTGGAGAACAGTGAAGACCAGAGGGGTGAACTGACCTGGCCAAAACCACACAGCAAATTATCCCAAACCACACAATCCTTGACCCTCAGCCCTGGTTCTCTCTGCTCTCCGAGATCAGAGCCACAACTGCAACTGTTGAAAGTGTTCGCGGTCCCTGGCCCAGGCAGCAGGCATCCATGAGTGACAGGGCCAGGGTGAGGCTGTAGCAGACCGCAAGGACTGTAGCAAATGGGAGAACTCGTGTCCATCTGAAGGCAGCAACCTGTTCCACTTGGACTAGAGACCTGGAGTGGCCAGATCTTCCAGTTTTTGAGAGGAAGCTAAATCATACATTTATTTCAAAAGTGGAATTTCCCCAATATTTAGATGCTGATACTTAATTCCAATTAATTTGGATATTAATACATAAATATCACAAAAAGCCTGTCTCCAGGCAAAGTTGATCTCTTAGATGTCCCATGTAATTTCCTGATTAAAATGACGGCTCAAGATCAAGGGCTTCCCTGAGCACAGAGCTGCCTACCTGTTATCCCAGCACTCTGAGGAGCTGCAGCAGGAGGATCAAAAGTTTGAGCCCAGCCTGGGCAACTTAGCAACTTAGCAAGACTCTCTCTCAAACTAAAAAAGATAGAAGGGGCTGAGGATGTAGCTCAGTGCAAAGCCTCTCACTTCAATCCCTAGTACTGAAAAACAAAGCAGACAAACAACAACAAGAAAAAAAAATAACAAAAAAAAACAGGGGCCTAGGCTAGGCATGATGATGTATACTTATAATATCCCAGCATACAGGAAGCTGAGGCAGGAGGACTGCCACAAAGTGAGGCCACAGTGAGATCCTGTCTTGAGAAATTTAAAATTTAAATTTAAAAAATAGGGTCTCATGTGAATTTTGTAGTTAGAATTAGTCCTACTTCCTGACAGACTCATGTCATCGAGGTACTCATGGAGGATGCCACGAGTGTCTGCCACCCAGAAATCGGAATTCACTATCCTCCACCCGGGGGCCAAGTCCCTGCCATCCTGGGGCTGAGGAGGGCTGGGGGTTTATCTCAGTGGTTCTGCTGCCTGCCTTGCAAGCGCAAGGTTCCTAGTTCAATCCCTGGGCCCCCCCCCCAAAAAAAAAAAAAGATCCAAGGGGGGTGTTGGATGGGATTGCAGCTGAGTCCAGCTGGGAGCAGGAATCAGCCTGTGAACCTATCACCAAGCAGCTCCCATGGGCTGTATGCCAGGCATGGTGCCAAACATTTGCACCATGGTCTCCCTGGCTCTTCACCCAAACAACCCTGAGAGGCAGAACTAGGGCCCAGAGAGGGCTGATGGCTAGTCCACAGTCACACAGCCTATATGGGGCGAGCCTGGAAAGTTCTGAGTTCTGAGTCCCAGAACACTTGCTCACCACTCTTCTGTGGGTCCTCTGGGCATCCACACCGCCTCATGTGCCCTGGAGGAGTAGGACAAGTGCCCAGATGATCTGAGCACCCAACTTACTCCATTTCTCTTATTTTCACTGGGAAGGACCTGAATAATCAGGAGAAGAAACCCGTCTTCTAGAGGTTCCAATCCCAAGAGCAAGGCTACGTTATGACTTTCACAGGTCCTGAGCATGTTAACTTTCATAGGCTCCTTCTCCTCTAAAAATCTAAAACAAATTTTTATGACTACATTCATATGTAGACTAATATATTAATATTATACCTTCCAAATTTTTCTGTGTAAAAATTGTTGGTTGTTGTGTTTTGTTTTGTTTTGTTTTGTTTTTTGTGACAGGGTCTCACTATGCAGGTCTGGCTGACCTTGAATTCACTATGTAGCCCAGTAGCCCAGCCTGGCCTTGAACTCACGGAGATCCTCCTGCCTCAGGCTCCTGACTACAGGCATGCGCCACCATGCCCAGCCCTTTTAGACTTATTTTAAAAGAAATTAAAACATTCTCAGGCTGAGGGTGTAGCTCAGTGGTAGAGCACTTGTCCAGCATGTGTGAGGTTAGGGGTTCCATCCCCAGCACCACACACAAAAAAACAACAATAACAAAACCAAACACATTCTCATGGGCCCCTAGAAGAATCTGGGTATGGTGCCTACCTTGCCTGGCACAGATGAGTTAATGAGGGCCTTTCCCAATGTTGACCGAGGCCACTGTTCAGTTCTCAGCCTGCCAATGCAAAGGCCCAGAAACGCACCACCCACAACCCAGCCAGACCCTTCCGGGGCCTGTTCTTCGCTGAAGTGGGCCAGGAAATTGCTGTATGGTCTTGGGCAAGTGCCCTGGAAGCCCCCGGGCTGCCTCTGCCTGCTCATCCATCCGATGGGCAGGTCTGGCCCAGGCTGTACCCCCTGAGTTATTTGAGTGAGGTCAGAAGGGACATGAGAATCGGATGGGAAGTCAAAATAGACTGTTGGTGTGGTTCTCGGGATTCTTCTAGATTCTTTATCTCTAAATGCAGAAAGCACTTTCCGTGTCTACAGCACTTAGTGTTCACTTTGGGGCCAGCCCAACACAGGACAGAACCACCCACTCCGCACTACCCCGGCACAGCAGCACTGGTCACTCAGGGCGCCATCTTGGAAGCCCACGGCCCCAATCTATGAAATGCGACTAGCAATAGAATCTGCCGTTCTGACTGCCTTAGCACAGAGTGTGGCCCAGGAAAAGGACTGATCAACTGTCAGCTGGTATTATTATTGCTCTTGTCATTATTCTCAGTCCCAAAGGAGGCAGCAATCTTCAGAGTTGTGAAATCACCCTCGTGGATTGGGGAATATTTCACAAATTGCCTCAGGTATGGACACCCGATGGTGGCCCTGTCAACATCACCAAAAAACTGGGGTGGGGGGTCTGTGTCTAAATCCACGTCACCCCACCTCAATGTTGCGCTCAGTCCTTCTCACCCAGCCCAGCAGCAGCAGCCCACCAAATACTAGAAAGTGCCAGGTCTCAGGGATCTCCAAGCAGAGGATCAAAGTGTGGCCAAGGTGGGCTTTGCAAGGCCCCCATGGCCTCCAGGTTGAAGCTTAGGATTAGTAGTGGCAGCCAGCTCACGAGGGTCACCAGTCCTCTCTTCCTCCCGCAACCCCCTGCAGCAAGCTCTGTCCCCCAAGGTCCTCACATCACCTTCAGCAGACTGTTCCCTGAAATGCCGACCCCGAAGAAAGGAAGGAGAGAGCCCTCAGGCAAAGGCAGCACCTACTTGGGTCTGTCTGTCTTTGCCAGCAAGGAGGCCCATGATGTAGGAGTTCAGCTGGGGGCCGGGGCATTCATCCCAGGTCTGGGGTTGGTCCCGCACCAGGAGATTTGGAGAGTCCCAGTTCGGCCAGGAGACCAGCTCCTCAGCCAGTGTGGCTGGGATGGCAGCAGAGCCACCAGTTCTTTCTGCTTCTAATCAGAGGTGCAGGGAACCCTGCAGAAGTGCCCCAGGGAGGCCAGGTGGGGACCGAAAGGCCACAGTTGCTAGGAAAAGCCGAGCTGTTGCCTGAAGAGATGAGGTTGCTAGGCGACCCTCTGCATTACCAGGGCCCTCGTGTCATCAGTCACCTATGCCTCTGTGAAGCTGGCCAAGGGCATCCTTCCCCAGACAGTGACAGCCTAGCTCTGCTCGTCCAAGCCTCACGCCCTCTGGCCTAGCCCTGGGACCACACACTCTGTCACCACAGGACAAACACAGGAGAAACCTTGTTTCTCCTGGGCCCAGGGACCAGCAGTTCCCTGATTTTCAAAGTCTCAGCACAACTGTGTGAAAGGAGCAGAAAACCTACAATGGAGGAATGACAGCCTCTTTAATAGAGGATGCTGGGAAAACTGGCTACCCACATGTAGAAGATTGAGTTTAGACCCATATATCTCACCATATACTGAACTAAAATAAAAATGGATCAAAGATCTAAGTGTTAAAGAAGAAACGCTTAAATCTGCTGGAAGATAAAATAGGTAAAACTCTTGAGGACATAAGCAAGGACTTCCTGAACAGAACCCCAATGGCACAAGGAGTATCAAGAACCAACAAATGGGATCATAATAAATTAAAAAGCTTTGGTACAACAAAAGAAATAACCAACAGAGTTAAGACAGTGTGAGGTTCTACTGAAAGGGAAATTTGCCAGAGGACTATTCCTCAGAGGACTAACATCTAGAATAGAATATATAAAGAGCTTTTTTTAAAAAATTAGATCCTTTGGGCTGGGGATTTAGCTCAGTGGTTCTGCCACCTGCCTCACAAATGCAAGGTCCTGAGTTCAATCCCCAGCACCCAAAAAAAAAAAAAGAAAAAAAAAGTCCCTTCAAAATAAAAGACCCTATCAAGAAAATGGGCAGCTAAAATGAATAGACATTTTCAGAAGCATAAATGGCTAATACATATATGAATAAAAGTTCAACATCACTGGCCATTACAGAAAAGCAAATTAAAGCAACATTGAGATTCCATCTTACTACAGAAAAAAGAGCCATCATCAAGAAATGAAATAATAACAAATGCCGGCGAGCGCAGGTAAAATGCAGTCCTTCTACATTGTTGGTGGAAATGTAAACTAGGACAAGCACAACTATGGAAATCAGCATAAAGATTCCTGAAAAAATTAAAAAATAGAAATTCCATTTGATCCAGCTATTCTTCTTCTAGGTATCTTCCTAAAAGAGCGAAAGACGTCCTAGTACAATGATGCGTGCAAGCCCATAATTTTAGCAGCACAATTCACAATAGCTCAATCTTAGAAGTAGCCTCTATGTCCATCAACAGTGAGTGGATAAAGAAAGTGTAGCTTTGCATACCCAGTGGAGTACTACTCTGCCAGAAAGAAGGGTGGATCTGAGTCATTGGTAAGCACCTTGAGACTGTAATATTACATGAGATAAATCAGACACACAAGCTTAAATATCACGTAGTTCCTCTTGTATGAGAAACCCCAAAGTACAAATAAAGAGCACAGCAATAGATGATAGAAAGCGGGGGATTTTTTTCAAACAGAAAGGCGAGCAAGAGATGGAAGGAATTGGGGAAGGAGACGGCGGAAAGGGGATGAAAAACGGAATTGGTAGGAAAACATGGGACAGAGCTTCTGCAGAGGGAAGGAGAGCAAGAGATGGGACGAGTGAGGAGGGCAGGAGAGGAGGGGAGGGAGGGGAGAAGAGAGCTGGGACGCGTTGTGTACAGGGACCTCCTCCCCGCAGTAAGGGTGGCCATTATGTACTGCACATGTGCGAAACCTTTGCGTGAGTGTGTGCTGTGCTGCTGTACCTGTGGGCAACGCTTCTCTGAGCACGGGGTCAGCACGGACAGGAGCCAGTGTGCACAGGGTTCCTGTGTGCACACACGTGTGGGAAAGTGCTGAGTGTGCGCGTGCACATACGCAGAACACGCGCGTGCCCGCACATGCAAGTGTGTGCGCACCTCGGCATGGGCGTCTGTGCCCCGAGCAGATGTGCAGGGCGCGTTTGGGTGCACGGCACTCTGAGGACACGTGCTGGGTGAGTGCGGGTGTTGAGCACAGCTGGTCTCAGCTCCGCGCAGTGGAAAGGACCGGGCTTGCGGGCCGATGTGCCGGGCACACAGGTTTAGCGGGGTGAGACTCAGAGCTGTGCACTCTACACAGAGACAGGTGGAGAGCAGAGGGCAAACCAGGCTGCACCTGAAGTCTCCCTTTCACTTCGGGGTGTGGAGGGGAGGCCCAGAGGGCAGAATGAGGGAAGCAGCTTCATTCTGGTACAAGAACAATTTCACACTCAGAGGCAGCTGGCTGGGACAGACAGCATTCCAAAGGCGGTATGAGCTCCCCACCCTTGGGGGTAAGCAAGTACAGGCTGCGTTCCTCTGGCCAAGATGGGAGAGGTTAAACATGACCTTAGCAAGGTGGACTAGGAGCAGATGCTACCCCACAAGCGTCCAGCCCTGAAATCCCATGTTGGCCTCATGATTTAACCCCTCCTGGCTGGGGCTAAAAGTGGTCCTTTGTGGAAATGAGAACATCGTGGTCCTGGACGGGCACTCTATTCAGCCAGGCCTCACCACACCCTCTGCTGGGGCTCCTGTGAGCCCCTGCTGTGGACGCAGGAGCTCTGAGCGGGCAGTTGCCCCTTGCCTAGGCTCCTTAGCTACCAGAAGCAAAGTGGCACTTCTGCTGCTACCGCCTGGGCTCTAACAGTCATGGTGCCACCCTGCCATGGGCTACAGCCAGAGGGACGGCTCAGGGAGGGGGTATGGGCCGGGGGTCACCACAGTGGGCAGTGCGACGAGGTCAGGGAATAACTCAAGGGACCTGGAGCAGGGGAAAGACTTTCTCACCTAATCCCTACCAGCCTCCTCAATGGTTCCCTCACCTCAAGCTCTTTCCAACACAGCTGCCCTAACGCACTACTCTCCTGCTCACAGACCTTGCCTGGCTCCCCCCTGCTTTTTGGAAATCAAGCCCAAGGCCTTTACAGCCGTGGCCCCAGGGCCCCACACTCTTTTGTCTTATCTCTCTCTTTCAGCTCCTCCTCAGCTCCCTGGTCCTTGTAACTCTCCTCTGGGAACACTCACTCCCTGGCCATCTCCTCCAGCCCCCACTGTCAGTGCTGTCTCTGTGACCTGACTTTGCAGCTCCAGCCCCTACTGGGCTCAGGTGGCCCCTGCCTGTACCTCCTCCTCTCCCCCCTGAGCCACCTGTCTGTCCAGCCTCCTCCACGCTCACATTGCCACAGCCTTCTCTCTTGTGCTTTCTGCTCTCCAGCTGTTAACCAGTCTTTTCCTTGTGTTTTACTGCAGAAGTACAGATGTGGGCGAGGAATCAGCCACTAACAGACCACAGAGAAGAATCCAGAGCGGCCTTAGAGGAAGCTGCAAGATGGCTGGGGTGTGTGTGAAGGGGGAGATGACCATGGCTCTGTTAATAGGAGGGCCCACTGCGTGTGTCTATTTATGCATCCATCCCTGCATTTAGCCATTGCTTATTTAGTGCCTACTGTGTACCAGGCACTGTCTTAGGCTCTGGGGACATGGAGGTGAAGATACCCAGCAGCAGTCCCAGAGTGTGTACACATGCATGTGTGTTGGAAGGGGGATGTTGAGTGGTGAATAAGAGGATTCCCATGGGGTCCAATATAAGCATATTGGGGACCCCAGCTTCTGCCGCTGTGTCTGGTCAGAGTCCAGCAGCACACAGCGCAAAGAGGTACTCCCTTGAGCAGTGGGGAGCCCCTCGCTGAACCCCACCTCCCTGGGAGAGCCCTCAGCCCAGCAGACGGGTGGCTTACTCAAGCCCCTGCTCTTCCTCTTCTTCCTCCTCCTCCTCCTCGCCATCCTCCTCCTCTTCTTTTTCCTCTTGAATCAGGGACAGCTCCCTGAGTTTGGGTTGGAGATAGGAGTGAGCCCCACCGCAGACACCCCGAGTCTACCTCTTGCTCCCATTTTCTGTAGCACGTCCCATGACTGCTAGCACCTGGACTCCCCAGCCAAATCTTGACCTGGGGATCCCATCTGTGCAGCCCCCACCCAGCAACCTGAGGCTCTCAGTGGCGACAAGTCCTCTTCACTACATGAGGGGCCTCTCCCAGCCCCCACTGTCCTGTGGTGACGCTGGGCCTCTCTGGTGCTCAGTTTCCCCATCTCCTCTGGAGGGCTAGAAACCTCCCAGCTTGAATAGCTGTCACCAAGCACCACTAGTAGGAACAGAGATTGTGCCATTCCTATGGAGAGTGATTTGGTGATCACTGTCATTGCTCTGAGGACCCCGCGGGCCCCCTGGAGTCCGCCCTGCAGAGGTGTATACCTATGGGCGCGCACACACATACAGACAGAAGAGCTTGCCACAGAATCATTCACAATAACGAAATCTGGGGATCAACTTCCTATAGTTAGACCCACAATGTCCCTCAAGAGCCCAAATGTTAATAGTGTGTCCCCCGGACTAATGCACCTGGAAGGCATTGACCCTTTAAGGAATGGGGCCTTGTGGGAGGTCTCAGGGCACTGCCTTCTTCCCACTGGAAGGCAGTACAGGGACTGCAGCCCCATCTTCTATTTTTCTTTCTCTTCCCTGACATGAACCAAATGCTTTTGCTTTGCTGTACACTCTCCACTGCTGAGCTGCCTCATCAGCAGCCCAAAAGCATGGGGCCAAACTGCCATGTTCTGAAACCTCTGAAACCATGAGCCAAAAAACTTCCTTCTATATAACTTCATTTCCTCGAGTGTTTTGTTACAGTAATAAAGGTAACGTACAGTCTAAATAACCATCAGTGGAGGATAGGTTAAATAGATCATGGTATGTCCAGGTGATGGACTACTATGCAGCCATAAAACAGTGAGATGCCCTCTATGTACAGAATATGGAAGGACCTCAGTGTATATTAACTGAACAAGTATAGGAAGGTGCAGATATGTGCATATGCTATGCTATCTTTTACACATAGAAGAAGAGGGGAGTGCATGCTTGTAGGTGCCCACATTGTCTCTGGAATGGGACAGAAAAAGCTGGTAGCTAACATGCCCATGGGGAGAGGTAGGGGAGGCATGCTTGGCTCCTCTCTGTGCCTTTTTTTCCCCTCTAGTACTAGGGATTGAATCTAGGGCCTTTACACTAAACTATATTCCCAGCCCCTTTTTGTTTTTTATTTGGAGATAAAGTCTCCCTGAGCTGCTAAATTACCCAGGCTGGGCTTGAACTTGCCATCCTTCTGCCTCAGCCTTCCAGGGTGCTAGGATTATAGGTGTGCACCATCACACCCAGCTTCCATGCCCTGTTTTACCTGAGATTCTGTACTGTGCGCCTGTTGTTTCGTTCTTTCCTGGGACTTCTTTGGGTTCTCACCTGGTCATCTCTACCACAGCCTCATTCTCTTCCTCGTACACCAGAGCTGCCTCTGTCCCCTGTGGGCTGGTGCTGCTGTCCTGCTCGGTGCCCTCCCAGTGAGGGTCAACCTCTTCAAGGACGAGATCAGACTCCATCTGCTCCATGGGAAGGATGCTGACTGGAGGGACACAGAGGGGGCCTTTATGGGCTATGGGAACAGTGGGCTTGAACCCCTGAATCTCAGGGCCCTGAGAGAGCCTTGGCCATGGCCAGTAGCACACGAGCTCCTAGCAAGCAACGGGCAAGGAGGGCACCATGGTCAGCACAACCACTGACTACTGGGCCAGGGCTCATGTGATGGGTTGAAGCCCACAGCATTCACCCTGTATCCTTCCTTTATTTCATCTCTTTTTCTTTTGACATGGAACTTTAAGGTCGATCAAGTTTGTTTCTCTCTGAGGCCTCCTTCTTAGAAGTTTGTGCTGGAGAAAAAAGTGCTCCAAACCCCAGCATCGGAGGTGGTGCCTGACAAGCCAGCATGGGGCTGCCTGCCATGTCCAGGTGTGGGATGGTCCTGGTGACAACATGCCCACAAGCTCAGCACTTGCATCCGGTAGTCCTCCCCACCCTCCTGGCTCTCCCAGCTCCACCCCCAAGGGAATCGGTGGAGGGGTGGGTAGGAGAATCCTCCCTTCACAAAGAAGCCTGATTTTCAACACTGCTCCATGCACCCTGACCCTGACAATGAAAACACCCAGGGCCCGGAAGTCTGGCAGAAATGAGTATAGGAGAGTCTCAATCTGAACCCAAGCCCACATCGGGCAGAAGTCAGGGACCAAGAGGCTGCCTGGACACCAGGTGTCCCCCCAAAAGTTAAAGGGGTCTTGGTGGCCCTCGAGCCAAGCATCAATTAGTAACTGTGACTTTAAATTGAAGCTGGTCTCAAGGCTTCTTTTGTGACCGTGGAGGTTACTGGTCATGGTGTAGCACCATAACAAAGACAGCAATAGTAAGTACAGCTACGATCCCAAGCCAAGCCCTGTGCTGAATGATTTACAAGGATTAACTCTATTAGTCCATACAGCAACCTCTGAGATGGGAATAATTACTATTCCCATTTGATTTCTATACTTTTATATCTTACCCTGTTTTACAAATAAGCAAACTAAGAAATTGAGGACCACTTTATTTTGGGGGGCACTTCTGATGGTTCAGGCCTGGGACTCCCAGCTTCCAAGTACAGATATTACCCCTGCTTCCCAGGGGAGCCCCCTGCCCACCCTGAACAAGGCTGTCCCACGGGGAGTGCTGGCTCCTCCAGCCCTGCAAATGTCCCTGGGGCCTGATCTCCCTAGAGGGTCTGAGGGAGGTTCCTCCAACCCCAAATCCAGAGGAGGGATGTGTTGGACGTGAGGTTCTATGTTGCTGTCCACAGTGGGGTGGCCTCTGCGATCCAAGCCCCCTGGGGTGCAAGTTGCTGCCTGGGCACATCAGGGGACATCCAGGGCACAGAACATTCCCCAGCCTGAGGACTCTTTAGCTTTATAGCACCCGAAAGAGTGAGAACAGAACTTTCCACATTTTACAGACCAAAGAGCCAACCCAGCCACACAGGAAGCTGGAAGCAGAGCCCGATGTCCTATTCCTGACCCCCGATTCCATGGAGCACTCGATATGGGGTGTCTGTCGTGAGGAGTGAGGATGCCCTTGCCTAGCTGCTTAATTATTTCTTTTTAGATACTATGGATGGAAGCTTTCATCTCTGCAGCAGACCTGCAGGCCCCATCATAGACTGTCCCCAATTTACAGCCGGAGACGCCCCAGCTCTGAGAAGAGGATGGTGCCCAAGATCCACAGCCAGGAAGGGCAAGGAAGGGTATTCTGCCACATGGCCCAGGGCAGGGCCCTGCAGGACTAGGAAGAAATCACTGTCCTGCTCTGGAGCTCCAGCCCCTCTGAATCTCCTGGATTCTCCAGGGCCCCCGGGAACCCAGATTTGAGGGATCCATTCTGACCCCTGCCAGTGGAGGCCAGCAGCCCCATGAAGAAGGAGCTTTGTCTCTAAGACCAGCCAGAGAGGAGCCAAGGTACACAGGTTCTAGGTCACCCCAGCCCCAACCCCAGACCCTGGGTCACTAACAAAGCCAGAGCACTGGCTCGAAGCTGTACTCTCAGGCAGGTCCGGGTTGTGGACACCCCCCTGCCCCCAGTCCAGATGACCTGGCCCTGAAGCACTGGCCTCTCACTCACTGGACATTTCTAGAAGCAAGGCCCCTGTCCCTCCCATCATGAGAATTATAGGGGGCAGTGGGCACCTCTGGAAGAGACAGGCTGTCAGGCTGCCCACACTCTAATCATGAGGTCTAGGGGTGCGACATTCTTCATAGTCGCTCCCATTTGCTCTAGTTGCTTTGATTGCTTTCCTTGCCTCCGTTGCTTGCTCAGCCCCAGTGTAATCTTTGTGAAGTCCCTCCTCACTCAACCACCCACCATGGCTCCCTGCTGCCTATAGCCTAGTCTTCTCAAATCAGGCCCCAATAATCTAACTTTGCCTTCAGTATCAGGGACTCCGGGCTTCGACTAGCTCAAGTGTCCATCATTCTTCCCTAACTGCTCTTACCTCCACGTGGTTTCTCACTTTATTCCCTCCGCTGCAATTATTCTGCTTCATTGCCAGTTTGAGAACCAGGGCCTCAAACCCAAACTTAAATGGTGGACACAAATGAAGGGACGGTGCCATTGGTTTTGAGCTGTCCTCATAGGCACAGTGTGGGTCCCCCACAGCCAGCCCTTCCCACTTTCTGAGCAGGTCAGACTTCCTCTATGCAGAATCTATGCTTTAAAAGTTGGTAACTAATTCTAATTTTTAAAATCACTCCTTGGCCCAAACAAAGACATCAGGGACAGCTGGGAACTCAGGGCCCCTGGCTAGTTCCTCCCTTCCTGTGAGCCCAGTACCACCAGCCACAGCCCATTCAGTCCAACCCTTTAAAACCTACACACTTGGTTCAGCCTTGTTCCAAGCAAGAATATCGTGCAATCACAGGTGTGAAGTGCTAATTCGTTATTTTTAATGTCAGTTAAAATGTCTGCCCCAGTCACAGGTAGTTTCCAGTCCTTTGAGGAGGGAAATATGGCCAGGCCTTAGGAGGACCACTTCTGGGAGAAACCGGGTCCCCGGAGGTGTGGCATGTCCTCAAAGCAAGGCGTTCAGTGTTGAGGCCTGTGTGGGGATGTGGGCACCCACTGTGCAGCCTAAGTCTCATGGCTGCCCATGCCCAGCCCGCCCCTTGCTGTGGTCTAGCTGCTGCCTCTGCCAGGCACCCTGAGAGGAGCCTCTGGGACAGAATTGAAGTGGGCCAGGACCAGGGATTCCCGGCTCAAGCAGGGTGAGGGTCAGTGGCCATCTCTCCCCCTCCCCTGGGACAGTCGTCTCTTCAGCCTTCTGTCCTTCCATCCATCCATCCATTTGCACATCTGTGCTCTCCCAGATCCCCTTCTCCCCTGCTTCAGAGGCCTCCAGGTACCACCACCCCTGAAACAAAGGAGAAGACAGAGGATGGACAGCTGGGTGGGCAGGCGGAGGGGTGGCTGGCTGGCTAGGGGAGGCAAGGGGACAGAGGAGGGAGCAGAAGAGACACACTTGTCCCCATACCACTCAAGTTACCTCGGGAGGTGGCTTGAACAGTGTGCTCACCAAAGATGTGCCCAAATCCTAAGCTGTTACCTGTGAATGTGACCTTATTTGGAAATAGGGTCCTTGCAGGTGTAATTAATTTATGGATTTCAAGATGAGATCATCCTGGATTTAGGGTGGATCCTAAATCCAGTAACAGCTGTCCTTACAGAGGACAGGAGAGGGGGATTTGACACAGATAGAGAAAAGGCCGCAAGTGACTGGAAGGCAGCTAGAGCCAAGGAGACCTGAGGATGCCAGCGGTGACTGGAAGCCAGGAGGGGGTGAGGGACGCTCCCTCAGAGCGTCAGGACGGGCCAACCCTGTCAGCGCCTGGATTCTGCACCTTGGGCTCCCAAGTCCTGAGAGAACGCACTTCTGCTCTCCTGAGTCAGGCAGTCTGCGGTCATTTATTACTTCTGCCCTAGAAGTCGGACCTGCCTGTGCTGCAGGCCCTGCGCCATCTGTCCTCATTGCTGTCTGGTTCCCACCTGTAACCACACACTCCAGGACCTGCAGGGAGGCCCTGCCCGAAGCAGGCTAACACCACCATCACCTGGGGGCTGTAGAGCCTCATACACGGTGGGGAGCAGCCCTGGGATCTCCACATCCAAGGCCGGAAGGCCTGTGTCCAGAATGGTATAGGGGCTACCACCAACTGCAGGCCCTGAACGCTGCTTTGCTCATTGCTAGAACCCATCGCATACCAGCACACTGTGGGCTGCCCCTTATGTTTGTTGAATGAATGAACGAATGCCTGTCCATCAAATGCCTTCCAGGAATGAAGAACAGATTCTGCCCCTTGTCCTCCCTGCCTGGCCTTTGTCCTCCATCCATCAGCCCTGGTTCTGGGCTGGGGCAAAAGGCATCATTACCTCCCAACCCAGCCACAGTGAGGGGTCCCCTCCCAGCTCAAGGGCGCTGGCATCTGTGGATCTATCTCCCCCAGGGATACCTTGTCCCTCTCCTTTCCCCAGACCAGGATGAAGCTTAGCCAAACTGAGTCACCCAGAAGGCAGGGTCAGGGCCGCTTTCCCTAGTGCCACCCATGGGAAGGGGGTGCCCATCTGGGGGCTGCTTTCTTTGGGTAGGTGTTAGATATCAAGCCTGGGTCATTCTGGCTCCGGGCTTAGCTCTGGCTACCCACACAGGCTGATCACAGGTGAGGCCCACCAAGTAAGGGCCCCTGCGGCTGTAGGTCAGTTATGCCCCCCACTTAGACCCAAGGACACAAAGCAACCTCCTAGAGTTAGACATAAGGACCCACTAATGTGTCACTTACTGGTCTGCACATCGCACGTGGTCTCAGGGAACCCCGGCTCCTGCACGGAGGAAAAGGAAAGACGATAACCTCCTACCCCACCGCAGCGCCCTCCCAGCACACACAGGGCCAAGGGGCTTTCCGAATCCCCTCAGAAGACTCCAGTGCCTCAGGCTCCACCCTACCCCGCCATTGCCCTGCCTCAGAGGCTGCCCTCTGTCCTGTCCCTGTCCCCTAGGAGCCATTTCTTGGTCCTTCTCAGCACCCTTGTTCAGGTGGTGCCTCTACCTGCAATGACTTCTCTTTTGCTCTCTGTGATACCCTCCTCCCACCCTCCCGGAGGTTGGCTCAAAGCTCCTCCCAGGAAGCTGGGAGTGGTGGCGCACACCTGTAATCCCAGCACTCGGAAGGCTGAGGCAGGAGGATCGCTGTGAGTTTGAGACCAGCCAGGGCTACATAGTGAGTTCCAGGTCAGTCTCAACTACACAGTGAGGCCCTGTCTCAAAAAAACAAAACAAAAAAAAAGCTCCCCCAGGCCTCTCTCCATTTCTCCATCCCACCCTCATCCTCAGGCCACTGCACTCCGTGAGGGCATCTCTACCAACCAATTGTTTCTGCCACTGACCACCCCCAACTCTGAAACCAGCTTGGCTTCCTGCAGGGATCACATGAACATGGAGCCTAGAGGCTTAGCCCAGGCTTCCTGTGTGCTCCCCAGCACAGCCACCAGCACAGGGGCCAGCCTTGGAAGATGGGCTGCCGGAAGGGTCTGGATATGGACTCCAGACACCTGGGTTCTGACGCCAGCCATGTGACCCTGACTCACCTCTCCAGGAAAGAAGGCCCATGTTGTGCAGAGAACCAATGGGAGAACTGGGGGTTGGCTCAGTGAGGCAGGTTGTGGTGCCCCCAGATACCAGAGCAAAGGCACTTGCTCAAAGGAGCCAGGCAAGGACCCTGAGCAGCCTAGTGGCCCAGGACCAGGCCAGGTCTACCTCTCTCCTGAGCCTAGATATCTTCTCTTATAGAACGCTTTCCTGCTTTCTCACAACTCTGGGTGGTGGCAGGATTGTTAGCCCATTGCTCAGGTGGAACAACTGAGGTTCCCAGAGGGCTGGGGCCAGGCCAAGGTCACACAGCCAGGCCTCCCACCTCCCAATTCAGATACTTGTGCAAAGATGTCCAACTGTCCCCAAGAAAGAAGGGTCAGGTCCCAGGATCTTAGGGAAGGAAAGGATGAAGTTACAGAGGCCCTGTTGCCCCCACCCACCCATGCTGCCATAGGATTCACACAGGGCCTCTTGGCTTCCTGTGAGCCCCACTTCATCCCAGAATATTCCAGGTCGCTCTTGTCTCCAGGCCTTTGCACATACTTGGAGGTCCCCTCCACTGGGAAGTCCTCTTGATGCTCCCGGCAGCTCTGTCTCTGAGCCCCACGAGCCCTCTGTCCCTCACGAAACACTGAGCTCCTGGTGAGGGAGACTGAGGCCCACGGGGCCTCAGAGGGTGTGTGGGATGAATGTGTGCCACACAGAGAGGCAGGCGGGGGGCAGCGTGCCCACCACAGGCTCCCTTTTTCTTGCCTACCCCCAGTGCTCCGGGCTATCCAGTTCACCCTTATCGGAGCTCCCAAGCCCACCTCTGTGCCCCCCACCACACCCTGGGCCCAGCACTGACCTGTTCCCCAGCCTTCCCATGGAGCACTGGCTGCGGCAGGGCCCTCTCCAGCCTGTGCAGGAGCCACGCTATCAACCTGCTGTGGGAGAGGGTAGGCTGCATTCAGGCGGGAAGGCTCATGGGGAAAATGAGGCCAGAGTCAGCTCCCCCAAACCCCCAGACAGATAGCAAGATTGACAAGAGCCAGTGCCTGCCAGAAGCTCCCACCCATGACTCCAGCCCCAAAGACCATCTCCTCCGTCCCCATTGTCCCTAGTTCATCATCCCTAGTAGCTCAGCTACTGCTCAGGCCCCTGCAGGCAGCTCAGTGACCTCACACTCCACCTCGTGACCAGAGAGCATTTCTGGGCTCTCACTGCCGGCGTGCAATCACTTGTCAACACCCAGCTTGGTTTTAAATATGCAACCTCTGGCCCAGCAATTCCATTTCCACTGATTTATTCTACAGGTTTACTTGTATGTGAGCCAATGAAACACAAGGCTATTGGTTGCAGCAAAAGTATGGAAACAAACCTAAGTGTCCACTGAGAGGCTACATGAAATCTGTTATGCACATATAATGGAGACCCAGGCAGTTACTGAAGGAGTGAAGGAGGGGCCTCTGTATCAAACCACCTCCGTGGGAGTTTAGGTGAAGAAAGCAAGGCGAAGGACAGCAGGGGCAGCTTGCTCTTGGTAGGTGTGTGTGGAAAGGAAAAGTGCTCTTGTGGCGTGGGGTTGTGGGTTGAGGGAATTTCGGGTAGGACCAGAGCTGCTGGTGGGGTGATGTGGGGAGGCTCTGCACAGCCCAGTGAATTTTCTCCCAGGAGCACGAGTTAATTCTGTAATTTAAGAAACTACTTCTGTGAAGGTTGGGTGCTGGCCTTGGGCAGGGCACAATCCTGCTCTTCGGAGGAGGTGCAGCATTTAGGGGCTCACCTGGCAGGGTCCCTGGGTGGTGTCAGGGAGGAGGCCTGGAAGCTGGGCTGAGGCTCTGCTGTTGGCTCCACCTCAGGCTCCAGGGAGCCAGGACTGGGCAGGGAGGGGCTGTTGGTGGGCTTCTTCTCCGGGGTTGGTCCCAGAGGTTCTAAGCAGCCGGGAGAGCAGGAGCTAAAGACCCTTGGCAGGGCTCCATTCAGCCCCTCCAGGGAAGAGGGTGCCAGAATGGAAGCATTAATGTGATTGGGTGGGGAGCCCCTTGGGACCACTCCAGAGCCCTAACATCATAAAGACCAGGAAGGGGAGTGCTGGCAAAGGCCGCTTGTGTCTGCCCCAGGACTCTGGTTTCCCACCTTGGGCCAGAGGAGGCTTTAGTGCCCCCCCCACACACACACACAACAGCCCACTCCTGAACCCCTCCCACACCTGGGAGAGGGTTAAGGGCCTCCCCGCAAGTCCCCCAGGCCTGCTTCCCCCCAGCCCAGATTGTAACCACCCTGCAGCCCCTCCCAGGCTCACTCTCTATACCTGGGCCCAAGACAGTATCTGCAGGTTCAGCTCTGCAACCCTAGTCACAAACAGGGAAAAAGGTCGCAGGTCGTGGGGCATAGATCATAGGTCATAGATCAAAGCAAGCCCTGTGCACAACACATCCTGGCCAGTTGTGCCCTGGCCTGAGGCCAGTGCAGGGGCTCAGTGTTGCCCCGAATCCCTCCATCACCAGGCACTCACCCTCCACAAGAAGGCTCCAAGGAGGAGATCACCCTGTGGTGGGTCCCAGGGAGGGGGATAGCCTGCTGGAGAACTTCTCCCAGGGGCTGGGCTCCACACTCACCTCAGGGAGTTTTGGGGGCTGAGGCAGCACTTTCTCCAGATTCTGCTCAAGGCACCTAAGCAGCCATGGGCCAGACCTGTGGAGGCGGTCAGTGGGCAGCCTGAAGACGGGGGCAGACATACCATCCTGACTGTCCTCTGGGGGTCTGGCCCTCACCAGCCCTTCCTTGCCCTTGGCTCTTGCTATGCAGTGGGGCTTTGTGCTCGATGTTCTCAAAGGGCCCCCAGGAGGTGAGCAAACTCCTGCCAACCTGAAATTGGACCCAGGGCTAGACCAGGCTCTGGACCACCTGACCCAACTTTGGAAGCAGGTGAGGTGTGGGAGATCTTGGAGGATCTGAATGCAGCTCAGGAAGTTCCCTGTGACAGAGACAGATAGAGCTGGCCTCATGGATACAATGTACACGTGTACAATCACACACAAGGCCCCATACTTAGAAATGCCCATTTTGTGTTTAACGCATGTTATAGCTTGTATCTAGATGTCCCCTCAAAGCCCCATGCAGTCAGGGGTCTCGAAGGTGGCTGGAATAGAGTGTGTGAATGTGGATTAAGGGTGTGATACTGGGATTAAGGGGGTGGATAATGGGAGCCCCATCTTGAATATGATGTCATCAATCAGGCTTGTAGCCTGGGTAGCAAATAAAGGAACAGAAAGAAAGCAGGCTGCTGCTGCTGCTGCTGCTGCTGCTTGCTGCCTTCCTCTTGCCACAACATGGATTATTTCTCCTCCATGTTCTCCTTCTGCCATGCCACCCTGCCTTGGAACCAGCTGACTATAGACTGAACCATTATTATACAGCTGTTTTTATCCACAGGCTCACAGGACTTTACTCTGCCGTTTTTCATCATTATAGATATGAAGATTGTGCTGATCATTAAAATGTTTTACAGTTATCACCACTTTCTGTGCCTTGTTAAGCCTGCACTTCCACTGAGGCAGAGTCAGCCGGAACTGTGCAGAGCGCCACCTCTCTGAGGAGTCAGGTGCTATTGCTGACTGTGAGGCTGACACGACTGAGCGCCTCAGTGTCCCCAGGCTCTCCTTCTGGCCTCCACATGAACCTCACCCACACAAAAGCCATGTGCGAGGCCCTTGTTCACCACCTCTGCCTTCTCAGAAGGTGACCCCACCCGGGGTCTCCCATTAGCAGTACCACAAGCCACAGGCAGCACACAGACCTTGTCCCGAGCCCATGCATGATGAAAGTGAGGTCCGGAAGAGGGCAGAGGCAGGTGCCAGGTCACACACAGAGGTGGCAACAGGCCTTGCTCCTGAACCCAGAACCTCGGCTCAGCACACAGCTCAGCAGGTGACAGTGACACACAATGATAGGGACTCACCCAGCCTCCTGGGCTCTGAGGGCCCCACTGGGTCCATCTGCAATCCCTACGGGGTCAGAAAATACAGGAAGGAAGGGAGGGAAAGATGGAGAGAAGTTGATCAATGGATTCTGAGTTGCAGCTAGACGGGGACAAGTTCTGGTGTACTCTACGCATAGCGTGACTATTGGTAGCGATTGGCTCCTGTCTATATCACAGGCCTGTGCACACCTGTGATCCCCGCAGTTTGGGAGGTTGAGGTAGAAGGATTGCAAGTTCAAGCCCAGCTTGGGCAATTTAGCAAGACTGTGTCTCAAAATAAATTTTAAAAGGGGCTAGGGATATAGCTCGATGTAAAGGCCCTGAGTTCAATCTCCAGTAATACACGCCTTGTTGGTGTTGTTGTTTTGGTTGTTATTCTGAGACTGGATCTCACTATGTAGCTCAGCCTGGCCTTGAACTTGTCCTCCTGTCTCAGCCTCCTGAGTGCTGGGACTACAGGCGTGTGCCACCATGCCTGATATAACAAACTTCTTTTAAAAGCTAGAAAAAAAGGCTTTTGAATGTTTTTGCCATAAAGAAATGAGAAAGATTTGATAGACCTACTATACAATGTATATATATAAAAAAGCATTACATGGTTCCCCACTAATATATAGTTTTTATGTTTTTAAGTATCAGTTAAAAAATAAATTCAATTAAAAATAAATTAATAGGGCCCGGGCTTTAGCTCAGTGGCACTGCACCTGCCTTGCAAGTGCAAGGTCCTGAGTTTTATCCCCAGTACCAGAATAACTAATTAACTGCAAATAAAAGTTTAAAATCAATGAGACAAAGAACATAGAGAAAGGTAGTCAACTGCAAGAGACATGCCTGGAACCTGCCCAGGGCCTGGGCAGCCTGGAGCAGGAACCAGAGACCCACTCAAACCTAGGCCCGAGCCTAGAGAAGCTCTGGCCAGCATGGACTCTCCTGAGGGGCAGTGCCCATCCCAAATGCCCCTTGGCTCTACCCTGAACAGTCACCCTGCCTCATGGCCTTACCTGTGTCCCCAGTGCTACACGGCCCAACAAACTGTGCTCCATCCTGTGGGGACAGACAGGCACACATGGCAAGGAGCCCAAGGGCAGCCTCCCCGCCACCACTCTCCAGCTGGCCACCCCTCCTCAGCCTCCAGCCCCTGCCTACCTGAGCTGGAGCCTCTGGGTCAGCCGCACCATTCTGGGCCATCCTGCCACTGCAGGCAGGCTGTGGAACGACCTTCTCCACACCCTTCCTGAGCCAGGTCAGCACCCAGCTGCTGGAGCTGCCAGGTCACAGAGAGCAACAACTATCTACCTCAGCCCCAGCCCAGCCCGTCCTGCGTGGCAGCCTACAGTGGCCCAAAGGACAGGGCTCAGATCTCAAACCACTATGTTCCCACTGGGAGACTTCAGACCCGTTACCTCCCTCCTGAGCCTCATGCTCCTCTCTGGCAAACAGGGGACACCAATGCCTCCCGTCATGAGGCCAGGTATTCCCAGTGCTGTTTGGAGCCCATCAGTTGCTCAGCACAGCAAAGCTAACCTCTCCTGTCCCCATCCTGTCACCTCGGCTCCAAGCCCCAGCCTATGATCACAAGGGGTCTGTGGGGTGTATCTCTGGGGTGCTCACCTACACCTGAGGGCTCAGACTTCCTGCCTGAGGCCAGTGTCACCCTTCGCCCCTGATGTGCTTAGCTGGAGGAGTCCCATGGGCTACACTGTCTGAGCTAACAGGGAGATTCCTGGCACAAGTGGAGATTTCTAGCTTTGCTGGGAAAATCAGAAGCCCTGAAATCAGCCCAGCCTTGAGACAGCCCTGGACCCCCTAGAAGGGACACTTGCTACCGCAGCCCCAGCTGCCTTTTCTCTAGGTCGTGATGCCCATTTGTTCCAGGAGACACCCATGCTCCCTGAAGTTCTCCCAGCTAACTTCCAGGATGTTCCAGGGCCTTCACCCACAACAACTCCAGACCTAAATGCAGTGCCACCCTTTCCCCCTCCCCAGTGGCCCACTGGCCGAGAGGGAAGTGGGGTGCCGGCCCCAGGGAGAGGGGAGGGTGGTGAGGTTACCTGTTCACATCAGAAGCCACTGTGACTTGGGCCTGGAGGGCTGTGGGCGGAGGAGGGACAGCTTCATGGGTCTCTGGAAAAGAGTTCCCCAGACTTTATATCTAGGCCCTTGGAGAGTTCCATTTCTATCCCACTGAGGTCATCAGAGGTGAGAGAACAAGGAGACTCCCAAACTTTAGAAAGTCAGGGTTCCAGCTCAGTTGGACTAAAAAGTCTCCAGGAGCCCACACGGAGCTTCTCTGAGCCTCAGTTTCCTCATCTGGGGAAGGGGCAGGCATGAGGCTCTGCTGGGGCTTCCAGCACTCACCCTGAAGGCCAGCATCCGCCACAGCCACTTGCTCCCTGTGAGTGGGTTCTTCAGGTGGCTGCAGGGTTCAAACAAGACCATATAGGTAACAATGTAGGTAAGAATGCCTGCTTAAACAGGGGGGGCCCCTGATTCACCCCATGGGACCCATAGCCCCTAAAGAGCTAAACGGCTCTCTTCTCAGCCATCTCTGTGAGTCCTGCGGACCTCACTTTCCACTTACCACACTCCCTTCCTCCCAGCCCTAGGGTCCCACACTAAGAGTGAGACCTTCACTCCTACCTCCCAACCTCCCAGACCTATCCTATCCCGCAGGAAGCTGCGCCACTTCAGTGACCTTGAGAAGAGGGAGGAACAGTTAGAGTTTTATGAAGGCCTGGGACAAACAAAGGGGAAGCAGGAGGGCGAGGAGCCCAATCCCTTACCCTTCCTCTGGCACAAACTTCCCATTCCTCTCTAGCAGACAGAGTTCCACCTCTGGCCTCTGCCTTGCACCTTCCTCTGCAGCCACACCTCCCGCTATTGTATGCCTCTATGTGCACACACAAACATGCATGTGCACAAACGTGCACACACTTTCACTTGGATTTATCTATGAACATGGACACACAAATATAAGCATGTTCACACATAGGTATATACACAGTGACACACTACATCTCAGCATGCATATACAAATAAGTACGTATGCACCTGCGTGTGAATGCATATACAAATGCCAAGTGTGTGCACATGCGTGCTACAATGTACATGTGCCAGCACATGCGACCAGAGCATATACACAGTGCCTGTGTGCAGCCACACACATGTACACAGGCCTGCCAATGTACGCATGCAGACATGTGCATACACAAAGGTATGTTTGTATGTCTCTCTCAGCATTATATATGTATAATGTGTACGTACCACAAAATGTGTGTGCTCAGTCATATAAGCAGACATGAACATGTGTGTATTTGCAGACACACAAATATGTACATGCATGTGCATGTATGAACATCTACATTTACATACACAGTGTACATGTACACGCACAAAATATACTCGTGGATATATGTGAACACATGTGCACACGTATGAACACACAACATGTACATACACATAAAACACACAAATATATTCACATGCTCAGAAATTTGCATAGGCTCACAGTAGTACAACACATAGAAACATGGAACCACAGACACACTCAATACATGTGCATATGACACACACTTACACACATGGGCTGGCGTGCCCCTATGTGCACGCAGATGTAACACCAAAGACACACTGAACACAAACACATACCTACCCATGTGTACACGTGCACACACACACACACACACGCACCCTATGCCCATTTCCTAAACTTGCCCAGGACTACCCTAGAACTGGCCTTTCCTCTGCCAGGAATGTCCACCCTAAGCACCAGGTGAAAATTCTGCCCAGCCCAGTGTCTAGGAAGCACTTCCTGCCTGCTTCCAATCCCCAAAGTGATGGCTCTGTCTTCAGAGCTCCTAGGTTCTCCACCTGACACACCCACTCACCCTTTCAGAAGGGACAGCCGAGGCCCATGCTGGGGCTCACACATTCCCTCATGAGTCCTGTCTCCAGCAGAATGAGCTGACTGGGTGCCTGTCTGTTGGCCCCAGGTGCAACGTCTTGTTCATCTTTATGCCTTCAGTGCTGAGCACAGGGCCTAGCATCAATTAGTAGCTAAACTGAATCTGTTCACCCCAACTGCTAAAGGAGATGTCATCAGGCTCACCATGGGATGCAGAGAACAGCAAATTTTTTGTGCTTGAAGGAAAGTTCTAGAAAAATGCTCCTCAAGGTGTGGTACAAGCACCGGTGCCTATCTGCAAACTGTTACTGGTTCACGATGATCAAATAGTTTGCACCAGAGTGTATATTAACTCCCTGCTTCCTTCACTGAAGAAAGTGTTACTACAGCACAAATACCAACTGAACTAATAGGGTACCTAGTTACACTGTAGATTTACACAGTAAATTTTATTCTGAGCAAGTTCCTAATCTCATCAAGGACTGAAGATAAATAGTTCATGCACTAGCTCCTTTGAGTGGTTCTGCACTGGGCTCTACAGGTGGGCAAAATATAGCCATGGGCCATATCCACACTGGGTTTTATAAATAAAGTTCTCTTGGAACACAGTCATGCTCATTTGTTTATGCATCATCTATCGCTGTTTCCACACTACAGTGGCTGTTGTGTAGCAAAGATGGTGTGACCTGCAAGGCTTACAATATTTGCTATCCAGCCTTTTATAGAAACTGCCTTGAGCAAGCCCTGTTCGTTGGCCTGAGCCTCCTCATTTATATAAGCATTGGACTAGCCAACTACCACCACTAGCCCCAACTTTCTCCATTGTAGGGCCATGGGGAGCAGGTGGTCCTAAATCCCCAAGTGGCAGGTCAGTCTGCCCCTAATCTCAACCCCCATCCTCCTGCTTCTCACCACAAACTCGCCCTCAGGGGCGGCCTCCCCTGGGGCGGCTTCAGGCTCAGCCTCTGGTTCTGCCCCCAGCTCCAGCACCAGCTCTGGCTCTGCTTCTTCTTCCTCCTCTTCCTGCATCTTGGTCTTCTGAGAGGTTCCTGGGGGCTGAGGCAGCACCTTGTGGACCCAGCCCAACATCCTGATACCTGTAAGGAACAGAAACCCTTAGATGCCCAAGTGCTCACCATTATTCCCATCGTCTATGGGCCATGTTTGTGGGTTACACATTTCTTTCTCTGTTCATCATCTTTAAGAAAATATTTCTACAATTACATGTCCAGGTATTTACCTTACAGAATTACTCAAGGCCATAAGCATGTATGTACAAAGAGGTTGGTTGTGACACTACTATAGTAAAAGATTTAAAAATACCCAAATATTCATCAGTAGGAGACTGGCTACTGCAAAATACCTAAACATTCATCTGCAAGAGGGCTATGTATTCAGCAAATTACAATACATCCAATGTTGGAATACACACCCACTAAAAAAAGTGGATCTGTTAGAACTAACATGAGCGAATGTGCATCAGTACCCTTGGGACAGATGTGGGGCAACTGGAGTTAAGTCATGTGCAGATCGATTCATTAGACTCTCTGTGCCTCATTTTACTTGATTATAAAATGGGGACACTCACAGAAATTTTCCCATGGGCAGACTGTGAAGATAAACTGAACTGATAAAGACAACATACACAGAACAGTGACCGGCACATGCTGATATCTTCATAAATGTTGGCTAGGACTACATTGGGCAGTCAAGTGAAAACACTAAGGAATATAATGTACTGCATACTTTCATGATAAATTAAAAATATACATTATCAGTAACATATGAATGGGAAAAATCTGTTGCTTAACATAACATTATGTTCATGATTTTTTAAAATTTTTAAACAAAATGCCAGTTAAACCTCTTCGTCATGGTCTACAGTGACATTTCAGTCCTACCTTATACCTACACGTTCAGTTTCTGGCTTTTGTCTCTTCAGCAAATAGGGACCACCAGACTATGTCTCTGTACCTCTGTAGGACGGCCTGACCCAGCCAGCACCATACAGGTCAGTGTATGCACACTGCCAGCCCTGGGATCCCCTCCCAAGGCCATAATGAATGTGGACCTGACAAAGCCATGCCTCTCTGTGCCTCTCTGCCAGGGACACTGGTCCCAGGAGGGAAATGAAGGCCCAGGGCCCAACACTCCTGGGAGCGTCCCTGGTGCTTGCAGAGTCCTAAGTAGAGGAGGCAGATCAGCCTCCAAAAGGTGAACCTAGCCAGATATGACCCTTCTGGTCTTCCATTTTCCTGATGGGTGAGGGTGTGGACACCATGATCTCCCAGGTTGGGAGAGACCAAGGTCACATGTTTGGGATGGCAGATTCCATAGGCCCCAGCCAGCCACAGGGAGCTCCAAGAGCCAGAACAGGGCTAAACCCTCTCCCAGCTTTGACCATAACCACCCTCCTCCTCATCACCACAACCCTGGCCCCAAGTACATAGAAGAGAATTTTCATCCTGGAACACAGCTAGGTCACAGTATTGCCCAAAGTGACAAGGGCAGAGAGTGGCTGAGTTTGCACTCAGGTCTGCCCAATTCCAGCTGCCCCGCATCTGTCCCAAGGGTACTGATGTTTGCCCAGGGTTGGCCTCTTCTGCAGGCCAGACCTGTAGGTCCTTTCCCGGCCAGCAGCAATCCTGCCTTGAATTTCCAAACCTAGAAATGATTAGGGAGGCTTCCCCAAGCCCAGGTGTTCTTATTCCCCTAAACACAGCCAGTCCTCTAGGATGGGAACTTTAGTAGGTGTCTCCCACCCCCACCTTGCTGCCATGTCCTGGCTGACTCCACTTTGATGAGGGAGGCTCAGGCCAGAAGTGGGCCTGGGGGTGGCAGCCCAGGGAATTATGTTATTGGACTGCCAGCATTTTCAGAATCTCCTGGAGACCAGGAGAAAATGCAGATCCTAGGTTTCCTAGACTATTGTGAGTGTCCTGGAACCTGCATTTCACAAGCTGGATCCCCAGAGAGGAGAGGGAAGCCACAGGTTTGCTGCCATATCTATCTCATCACACCCAAATATCTTGTTTGAATCTGAGCATGGGGTTCCCCACTGGGGTTCTCTGAGCCTCCATCTCATCCCAAGTTACCTGCTCAGATGCCAACCACCAGCCAGGAATTGCCTTCTCACTACCACTCAAAGCTGGCCTCTGGGATACACAGGGATTAATTAGCAACAGCCAGGCTGTGCAAAGGATTAACAGGTCCTGAAGGGGGGCAGGGTAGAGAAGAGGCCATTGGTGCCTGGGGAGGCCAGCAACAACACCCAAGTAAGCATCCAGCAAAGACCTCGGCCCCAGGTTTTGTTGCTAGGAAAGCTGCCCAGGTACCAAAGCCTGGCTCCCCATGTGCCTTGGCCAGTCCACTGAGTGATGCTGGGAGAACAAGAGTTTAGGGTCCATGTGGTTCTGGGAGACTCCTCAAATTTCCAGGGTCTTGTCAACTCAGCAGGGGCAGAGGTGTACCCCATCTTTCCAGGTCCTGTCCAGGTCCTCAGCAGGCCCTTTCCAGCCGTCAGTCTTCAATAGTTCAAGTTCTTCCAGAATGGACATGGTTCCAGGATAGGGCCATTAGCTCAAATCTGTATTAGTCAGGGTTCTCCAGAGAAACAGAACCAATGGAATATGAAGCCTCAGAACCAGACAGGCCCACAGTGTAACCCCAGTCCAAGCCTCAGGCCCAAGAGCCTCAGGAGGATAGCTGGTATAAGTTGCAGAATCCAAAGGCCAAAGAACCTGGAGCCTAGCATCTGAGGCCTGCAGCAAGGGAAAATAAACCTTACTCACAAAGGAAGAGCCAGAGAGTTTTCCCTTCCTCCACTTCCTGTTGTATTCAGGCTCCCAGTGGATTAGATGATGACATCTACATTGAGGCCAAGTCTCTCCACTTAGTTTGCTGACCCACTCATTGATCTTCTCTGGAAATACCCTCATGGACACACCAGGAAGTGTGCTTTACCAATTCTCTAGACATCCCTAGTTCCATCAAGTTGATGCCAAAAATTAACCATCACAGGTTCCAAGGACTGGCAGATAATAGACTGCATTGAATCTGTGGGGAACTGAGGTGGGACCTCAGGGGAACCAGAAAGCTATTGGGGAGGAGGTGCAAGGGGTGAGAGGCCCAGACAAGAGGGACCTGGATGGGGGATAGGAGAAGTACATACTGAGCTATAAGGTATGAAAAGCAAAAAGACTGGCTGAGGAACTATCTGGGTGGACAGTAAGCCTTGAAGAGGAGAAAGGCAACTGCAGGCCTGGAGTTTAGTGGGTGCAAGGGAGAGTAGTGGTGGGTAGAGAGGTGAAGAAGTGGGTAGGGTCAGATCAACCCCATAAGGGTCTAGGTGGACCATGGAAGCTCATAGTCTTAGTCCTTTCTGTGGCTATAACAAAACACATGGGTGGGGTAATTTACACACAGCAGAAATGTATTGCTCACAGTTCTGGAGGCTGGAGATCAAGGCAGATCTGTTGTCTTTGAGAGCTCGTCCCTCATGGATGGTGCCTTCTATGCATCCTCATATGGAAGAAGGGGTGCACAAGCTCCTTTAAGCCTCTTTTATAAAGGCGCTAATCCCATTCATAGGGATGGAGTGCCCATGACCTTATTACTGCCTAAAGACCCATCCATTAGTACTACTGTATCCGAGATTTGGTTTGCACATGTGAATTCAGGGGGAAAGGGGGACACACATTCAGACCATGGTAGGTGTGATGGTTTTGAACAGCATTTAGAAAGAACATGTGTAGTTGTTTCACAGTGACAGGCATGACAGCAGAAGCTGGTCAAGAGGGACAAGCTAATTTGTGACTGAGAGACCCCCGGACTCTCCCTCCAGAGCCAGGCTTCAAGACCACTGATACGCAACTCCCCAAGGCCAGTGGTATGGGAGAACATTCTTTCTCCCAACAAGGCCAAAGCCATTGGCAAAGTTCAAGGTGGTTGCTGTCCTTCCCTTTTTAGGATTCCAGGCTTCAGGGGCCACAGCAATTCCAGCCAGACCCCTGCAGGAATGGAACATGGGACTCTTTGGCTCTTCCCTGGGCCTGCAAGTGGTGGCCTGGGTCATCATTAATAGTCACCCTTGCCTCTGGCCTAACAAGGATCAAAGACAGCATCTGACTAGGCTGTTAGCAGTAAAAGTAGGAGAGAAGGGGGAAGGCAAAGGAAGGTGTTGGGAGTGTTGTTTGGGAAAGGGCAGGATATAGGTGGCACATTTACCAGAACCAGAACCAGAATGTGGGATGTGATGAACACCAGGAGGTATGACTGTGTGAGAGGGGTGATCAGAGGAGACTGTCATCTGGCTGAGACTTGAGATGTGTACCCTGTCTGGTCCACAGGGGAAACTTGGAACCCAGAGGGAGTAGGGGGAAGAGGGCCTGAGTGCAGGGTACTGAGTGCAGGCACCACAGCTCAACTTTCCCCGGAGTGGGGAAGCCTGGGGGCAGCAGGTGGTGGAGTGTCACCTGCTAATCCCTGGCCTGCTGAGGCCACCACTCTCCCTGATCCCCACGCTGACGCTGGATACTGGCCATAGCTAATCTCTATCCCTAGTGCCCCAAGGGCTTTCAGTCAGTGCAGGGTGCTTTCCCTGAGGTTTCATGGAGGAGAGAACCCACCTAGGTTCCGAAGGACCCCTAAAACAGGGCCTAAGGCCCTTGCCTGTCACAGACAGGTGCCTGGAGGCCTGGAGGCCCAGAGAGAGAGAGAGAGAGAGTAACTAGCTCAGGGTCACACAGCCTGGGGTAGGCTCAACCATCATATCCCTGGCCTCACCTCAAGGGAGCTCAGCTCCCTCTCTGACATTACCCAAGATGCCTGGCTTGTGCTGAGGCCCAGGAGAGAGGGAGCACCCAGGGTAAAGCAGCCCCGACAACAAGCCCTTCTCAGAGCCTGAAGTTGCCAGGTTGCCTAGGAGCTGTGTCCTCACAATCAGGCTGCAGTGGGCATTATCTATGCTGTCCATAAGACCTGGCCCACCTCCCTTCCTCTTTTGCTTACTGAGTGGTCGCAGGAGCAGAAAGTCCTCGAGAGTCTGTACTCGGCCTGCGCCCTGCAGACGAGGTAGCTGCTGCAGGTGGGTCAGAAGCAGGAAGCGCACTGTTCCTCTCAGACCTTCCTTCCCTGCCCCTCTCTACTCAATTCCTTCCCCAGGCAGCTTCCCACGCCTCATCACCATGCCCTCTCCCTCAAACTCCATGGTCCCAGGTCCTCTCTCTCCTCCTGCCCATCTAGCTCCCCCGTCCATCTCTCACCTCTACCTCAGGGTTGGAAAGAAAGCAAATGAGTCAACAACATAAATGACTGAAAGGGGCTCTTAAGAACATCTCCTTTATAAAGGGAGGCAGTGCTTTCCTAGTTCAACTCTATCATATGTCTCTTCTTTAAAACACTTCCGAGTCTTCTCTGTAGAATTTTGGGTAAATGCCAAGCTAAGGCTAAACCAGAATTGGTCACCTAGAGTCATTCAGTATTCTGAGCTACGTTTTGAATTTATTCACTACTGCTTTTTCCTGTTCAGATTATTTAACAGACTCAAATGCCACTTCTTTTAGACCATTCCATGCCAGACTGCAGCCTTGCAGACACACGGCCTCCAGTACTGAGCTCCCTCCATCCCTTGGCACAGCCTGTGTGTATGTACATGTGTGTACATTCCTGTTTTTTGCCAGGGCATGTGGGGCTCCTGAGAAGTATGCATACAGCAGCCACTCAATAAATGCTTGACAGGGAGACAAATGAGCATAGGCCAAGGCTGTGTTCCTCCAAGGAAGGGTCTGACTGGCTTAGCCCAGAGTGAGCCCCTCTATGCCCTCTGCTCCCCAGGTATGGCTCGCATCATTGACCTGGTGCCTTGGGATGATGGCTCCACCCACGTGTATGCGTCCCCAGCCATCTTGCTCCCTATGGAGCGACAGCGCTACCAGCTGGCCGGTGTGAAGCAGCAGCTCTACCACCCAGCCCTACCCACTCTGCGCCGCATGGACATGGACACCACCAAGGCCTGCCTCCCAGACGAGCACTGCCAGTCCACCACCTACTGCTGCAAAGGTTAGGCCACCTCACCTGCCGCCAGCACTGGGATCTTGTGGGCCTTCGGAAGGACGGATGGGCAAAGAAAGGGAGTTTGGAGGAAGAAGCCATGAACAACAGATGAAAGGGAGACATGGGCTGGTCCAGCTCTTCTAGGCCCTACCCAGAAACCTCCAGCAAGGCCTGAGTCTCTACGTCCTTCTCAGTGAAATGGGGGTGATGACAGGGCCTCCCCTGCCCCAGGCTGTTGTGAGGTTAAAATGAGATGCTAGGAAAGGGACGCAGAGCTGTGCCAACAAGTGTGATTGCTGGTGCTGCTAAAGCGACTGCTCTCTTAAATTTTAATGCAACAAGATTCATTTTGGCACACAGTTGTAGAGGTGCCAGGTTGTCAAGGGGTCACATCTGGAGAGGGCCTTCTTGCTGGCAGAGTCCAGAGGTGGTTTAGGGAGTCCATGGTGAGAGATAAGGGCTTGCATGCATGTGTGCATCTTATGGTTCTTGTTAATGGAGAGAGCACAGCACAGAGGTGGGCACTTGCAGTGAGAGGAATAATAATTGCAACAAGAACAACTCTTGCCAACTCACCCCTCCATCTGGAACAGGGAGAGAAGGAGCCCTCCATACATCTACCATAACTATAGTCTGGACACACGGGCTCGGCGGGGGGACTACTCAGCACAGACAGAGAAGGTATTTAGGAGATAAAGTCAACAGGATTTAGTTCCAGGGTAGATAAGAGGAGAAAGGGGGAGTTCAAGGTGATACCTAGGTCCCTGCTTGGATGGCAGGCAGGTGAGAATGTCAAAACACATGAGAGATTCTCAGAGATCCACCCAGACCCCTCTGGCCAGAGCAGGACACCACACACACACACACACTGGAGGTGGTGGGGATGAATGGGGATGGGGAGCAGTGGGACACCCACACCTGTGCCTGCTAGAGGAGCAGCTCCGGCGCTCAGGATGGCTGTGCTGCATGCAAAGGTCGGCAAGATCATCAATTCATCCAATTTCCTGCTCCCAAGGGAATCCCAGAGTCTTGATTTTTAGGGAAAGCTCTGATTTTGTATGCATTTAATTGTAAACATGTATATATATTTTTTCCTTTGGTCTTGATTTGTACATTTCAAAATTAGGGAAACTGCCTTTCATCTATAGAATTAGTAGAAAACATTTTCCATTTGTCTTTTGACTTCTTTTATATTTTTGCTATGCAGAAGTTTATTTCTATGTAGTGTTATTTTGGTTGAGGGGATTTGGTTTTATTTTTGGTTTTGTTTTGTTTGGTACTGGGGATTGAACATAGGATCTCTGCACTAAGCTATAGCCCCAGACATTTTCTATTTTTTATTTTGACACAGGGTCTCCCTAAGTTGCTACGTTTCCCATGCTGAGCTTAAACTTGAGATCTTCCTGCCTCAGCCTCTGAGACCTAGGATTACAAGCACGCATCACTGCACCCAGTCTGATCTTTTCTTAAAGCTTCTGACTTTTTAGTTAGAATTAGAAAGGTCTTCTCCACTCCAAGTTTATAGAGAAATTTGCCCATATTTTCTTCTATTATTTCTTAGGTGTCTTAGTCCCTTTCTTATCACTGGGACAAGCACCTGACACCCACAACTTAAAGAAGGAGAGGTTTATTTTGGCTTACAGTTTTTAGAGGATTAAATCCATAGACAACTGGCCTGAAGGTAGGTATGGCTGGTGGAAGGGTCTGGTAGAAGAAAGCTGATCACATCATGCTGACCAAGAAGCATAGAGAGATCAGGTAGGAGCTGAAGAGGCAGATATACGCTGTTAGGTCATGCCCTGAGTGACCCACCTCTTCCAATGAGGTCCCACCTCCTAATATAACATTCAGTTCTAGGTTGTCATGATCCAAATACCTTCCAGAAACCCCACCTCTGAGCACGTAAGAATTCTGGAAATAATTCTGGATCTAAACCATACCATTTGGCTTCATTTCTTTATATTGAAATCTTGATCTATATGGATTTTATTCTAATGTGTAAGGTGAAGTATGGATACCATTTTATCTTAATCTTCAAAAGCCAAAAACAATTTTGTGGTACTGAGGATCAAGCCCCAAGGTGTTCCCACTGAGCTGCCTTTCCAGCCCCTCTCCTTTTTAAAAAAAATGTTTTTGAGAAAGTGTCTTGCTAAGTCACTAAATTACCTGGTTGGGCTCCAACTTACAATCCTCCTGCCTCACCCTCTCAAAATGCTGGTATCAAAGGCACTCACCATCACAGCCAGTTTAAAAACTATCCAAAAACTTTTTTTAATTGTAAAGCATAGTGCGGGTTACGACTGCCAGTGGGACACCTCTTTTTCTCCCTTTATCTTTTTTCAACAGATGAGTTTGACAATGCGCATTTCACACTCCTGGGGGTCCCCAATAAACCCTTGCAGTGCTTGGTGAGTGCCCTTTGCCCTTGATTCTGGGTTTTCTCAAGAGGACTAGCTCACATTCAGCCCCAGGGACTTCCAGTGGGCTGTACTCCCCGAGTAGTCCTCAGCTGCCAGGGACACCCTCCCCCAGCCCAATCCAGGTTGGCCATTTTCAATGTTCCCCTCGGTCAGATGAACCAAATGTCTGCTCAGGGCTGTGGGGTGGTCTGGGAAGGGCCAGGCTGCTGCAGCTGCCCCTGTGGTCCTGATCCCCATCCCTCTGGCAGGACATCACGGCGACCGGCCAGAGGCTCCACCACAAGTACAGCGAGGGGAAGCTGGCGCCCATCGCGCCGGGCATCAATCGGATCGACTGGCCCTGCTTCACGCGCGCCATCGAGGACTGGTCCCGCTTCGTGTCCTCTGCTGGGGAGTTCAAGCTGCCTTGCCCGGGCAAGAGGGGTCTGTCTACCCGCTGCGGAGGATGCCCCTGGGCAGAGGAAATGGGCGGCAGGGGGAGCCAACCTGGGCCAACAGAGGAGCTGGGGCTTTCAGGGGGCGCAAGGCTTGTTCTGGGGACAGGGCTTGCTCAGGGAACCCAAGGTAAGCTCTCTCCACAGTCGAGAGTTTCAGTGGCTACGCGGTGCGGTACTTGAAGCCAGATGTGACCCAGAACTGGCGGGTAGGAAAGGATGCGTGCTGACTAGGCCCTGGGAGTCCTGGTGGGGAGTGCTAAAGCGAGGGAAATGGGACGAATAGGGGAAGGAGACCGAAGGCCGGGTCTAGAGATCCAGTATCTTGAGATACTCAAAATATCCAGTAGGGGGCGCTCTGGGGCGCGGATGGGGGTCCTCACTCCCCCAGCTTATCGCCCCCCCATCTTTGTGGCCTGCCCCAGTACTGCCTCAACCAGAACCCCAGCCTAGACCGCTATGGACAGAAGCCTCTGCCTTTCAACTCTGTAAGTGACGCCCCGCTCCCTCGACCCCACACTCACTCGGAGGACGGAGGGTGGGGTCTGGGCCGCTTTCATAACGTTCGCCTAGTGGTTCTTGAAAATGTGAGGCTTGGCAAGTATTGAGTGGTTCTAGGACAGCCCAAGAGAAATGCAATTTCAAAATGAACGAATATTCAACTCCTACCAAACCGAGCGCGCTGTCACCAGCGAGGCAATCTCCCTTTAGGAGTGAAGGCGTTAAGTGGGGCGCAGGGTAATCCCAGCAAGACAGCCAGCCGGGAGACGGCCGGCCCCTCCTCGGGCTAACCCCACCCCTCCACGTTCCTCCACAGAAACGCTTTCCGGCGCTTCGGCTCCCACTACAGGTAGGGGACACCTGTGTTCACCAGGGCCAGGTAGGGACCAGGGTGTCCCTACAGGCCACGCCCCTGCTGGGCTCAACCCAGGCCAGGCTCAGACCCCCCCCACGGTGGGCCCGGCAAGGGAGGAGGGGGTACACTCCTTAGCGATGGGGGTTGGGGGGGCACCAGCGGTTTTGTCCCTGGCAAAACCACAGCTCACTGGGCATGGCGTGGGTGTAGGAGAGGTGCCTATCCCACCAAGACAGATCCAAAGGAGGCTTCCAGGAGGGAGGCATTACCTCGGAGGATTGCAGACATGTTAGAAATATGGAGAGCCAGCCAGACACGGTGGCACACACTTGTAATTCCAGCACTCTGAGAGGCTGAAAGTTGGGAGTCCAGCTTTCTACAACTTAGTAATTTAGCGACGCCCCGTCTCAAAATAAATAAAAAAAAGGGGGTGTGGAAGCTCAGAGTGGAAGCCCTGGGTTCTATGCTCAGTGTATGTGTGTGACAGAGAGAGTTTGAGAGAGAGAGAGAGAGAGAGAGAGAGAAGAATCTGACTCCTGGGCTGTGGATAGGTCCTAAGGGAGGGAACAGGTGTTTCTGGCCAGGAGACAAGGCTCAGAAGTGGGAAAGAGAAGGGGGAGTGTGGCAAGATTTCAAGTGTCTTTTTAATTGGCGGTCTCCCACCTCTCCACCCTGCCCCATACACTTTAGCAATACCAGACTCCCTTGGTGCCAAACCCACAAGCACAACCAGACACTCTCCAGACCCTTGCCTGTGCTGCTTCAGCACCTATATGGTCCTTTTGATAGAGGGCATATTATTGTAAATAGCCTAGTTAGTTAGAAATAGTAGAGGTAGTCAGAGAGGACTGGGCCTTCAAAGAAGTCAGGACAGAAGGCAATTATGGCTGGAGGTGAATTTATTGAAGGCCATGTTTCAAGACAGAGATTTGACTATACCCACAAACTTCCCCTAGGGATGAACAGCAATAATTGATATTCTAAATGGGCATCAGTCACCTGGGTTGGTGACCAAGACCTTCCTATCCCTTCCAGGAACTATCCTTGTTCCTTCCATGTATGCTTGCAACACTACCTGCTTCCCCACTTAATTCCCATTTAATCAATATTACCTAAGCAACTATACTGGATATCTTATTGGTCAACCATTGTTCTGTCCCACCTTATATGCACCTCACTTCAGGGTTTTGCTCTGTAAAACTCCCTTGAGAAGCAGGGTCTGAGGGCAATCTACTTTCTAGACCCTCTTCTGTCTCTCTTAGACAGAAGCTATCTTTGTCTAAAAAAATTCTTCCTACTCTTAACCTCTGTTGTTCCTAGAATTCATTTTTCATTTTTGAGAACACAAACTCACTGTGTCAGAAGAATGTACTGAAAGATAGCTTCTGTCAAAGAGAGACAGAAGGGGGCCCAGAAAGTAGGTTGAGCATGGACCCCATTTCTCAAGGGAGCTTTATAAAGCAAAGCCACAAGGTGAGGCAGGTATAAGCTGAGACAATACTATAGTCAACTAATAATATACTTATACTTACAAGTGTAGTCGCTTAGGTAACATTGATTCAAGGAAAATTCACAAGGTGAGTAGAAGGTGAAACAAAATTATGATTGACTAATAAGATTACAAGTATAGTCACTTTAATATTGATTAAATGGGGATCAAATGAGGAAGCAAGTCATGTAGCAAGCAAAGATACATGGAACTAATAAAGATTTTTCAGGAGGAATGGGCTAGGGAGGCTTGGTCCCCCACCCAAGGTGATAGATGCCTATTTAGAATATCATCACTGTTGTTAATCCCTAGGGGAAGTATGTGGGTGTAGTCATTTCTCCTTGTCTTGAAGCCTAACTTGTATGGAATGCACCTCCAGCCACAGTTGTAATATATGCTTATCTTCTCTCCAGGCCTGTCTGACTGCCTATAATATCTTAACTAATTTAGTTGTCTATAATATTCCTCCCTCTGAAGAACCATCCCTAACTGTGGTTAAGGGACAAGGGGTGTAGTTTTTGTCTAACTGAGAAGGGTTCATATAGGGGAGAACACAGTCAGGGACGGTCTTCAGAAAGCTAATCTAATGGGCCTTGGCTAGAAGTCATGTTGCAATTTAGCAGTTATAAACTCCCTTTATAAGGTCAATTTAGTGGATCCTGGTAAAAAAGAGTCTGGCGTATCTGTTGTTGGTTCCGTTTGCATGCTTACTTGGAGTTTGGCAGCCTCCATGCATGAATAAACACATTTTCCAAGAAATTAGAACATGTATTATCAGAGCATGAGAACTAGAATGTTATGGTAGGTTGGAGAAAAAGCCACATCTAGAAACTGCTCTTAAGGGACTAGAATAGCAGTTGTAACCAGTTGGCTCAGACCCCTCTTCTGATGGAGGTTATCTACAAGTCTGATATTTCTTTTAGTAAGTCCCTCTAGTTTCAGCTGTAAGAAGGAAAGTTTGGTGGTTTTGAGGACAATTTTAGCTAAGGAATTTAAAGTCTCTTGTTGAACTTTTATAAATTATATTATACTTTTTCCTGAATGAACCATAATAGTGGTCAACTACCAGTGTAGCTGGAAACAGCCAGAAGGGGTCAGTGATTGGAACCACTTTTTATATCTAACTTTGTTACTATAGTATTGTTTTTATATATCTTTGGGTTATACTTTTGTGCTGGGTGTTTAAGGCCAAGTTAAAGTGAGACCTGTGTTAATCAAAAATAACCTCTTGCTGTCTATGAAGGTTAAGCCTCTTTAGGCATCACTTTTGAAACCATGTACAGAGCCTCTCAGCTCATCTGTCAGTGTCAGCCATGAGGATGGGTCATAGTCTTGCTTAACCATGTTGCTTTCTGTGAAAGCATGAGAGACTTTTCCTTCTTTGGTGACCCTTCTTTGGTACAATGTACATTTATTGATTCTTGCCTTCCGGGGTCCAACAATCTCCCTGCTCAGGAGGTTGGGTGACTTACCAAAGTTGTAGGATCCTCTAGAAAAAGTCCCCTCATGTCATGGTTTTTTGTTGACCTTGGAGGGCCAGAGCCAAAATATTGGCTGTCCTTTTAGCCCAGTTACCTCATTAGTTCTGGTTTCAAAACTTTATTTGTTGAAAGCCCAGAAGAGAAGATAAGTGATATTAGTATTGCAGTGGGAGCAGTGAGGTTAACTGTTATAATTTTATCTGTATATCAGGCACTTTGAAATATAAAGTACAGCCAGAAGACTGTTATTTCTTACTTTTCTTTTTCTTTTTTTGTACCAGGAATCGAACCCAGGGCCTCGTACTTGCTGGGCAAGTGTTGTGACACTGAGCTACATCCCCAGCCAGACTGTTATTTTTTAACCAGCTATGATTGTTTTTTGTAGTTGAATCCCTGCAGAATGTTAACAGACAAGTATGGAGTTTTATAGAGAAAACTTGAAGTTAAGAGCCATACATAGTCTGTCAATATAACAGTCATGATAGTCTCTGTGGAGCACATTTAAATGCCTATCCTAATATAGGATTGCCTTTTTTGTCAAACATCTCTATCTGATCCCAAGACATTAGTGCTCACTTTGGCAGCACATATACTAAAATTGATCATAAGATATAAAATGATATAAAGAAACTTACCTAGTTTGTTATCCTTTAATAGTATACCATCTAAGGAGAATCCACTGACCTATAAATGTTACCTTAGAAGTTTATATTTACCCTCTAATTTTTTTTTTTTTTGTGCCAGGGATTGAACTCGGGTCCTTGAGCTTGCAAGGCAGGCCACTGAACCACTGAGCTAAATCCCCAGCCCTACCCTCTAATTTTTTAGTGTGTGACACTGGACTGCTCTGTGCCTAAGCATGACTAAGTATAGTGACATGCATATAACATACTCATCACATAAGTTTTTTAAAATTATTATTTAACTGGGTTGACATGTACCTCTTATCACAAGTACAGTGGACTCTTCACTTACGAACTCAGTTTGTTCTTGAGAGCTGGTTGTAACTCAGGTTGGTTAGTGAAGGCTCAGGCTCCACTACACAGCTTTCAAAGTTGCTTTCCTGTATACAGGTAGAGCTCAGTGTCCTTGGAGAGACATTGCCTTAAGATTTCTCAACCCCGCACAGGAAAGGATGTTGTAATGTTCTATCCAGAAGACTTTAAGGATTAAATCTGTATCTGAGACCATCTGGAAGAATAAGCAGCCAGCATTCAGGTCATAACTCAAGACTTTGGTCATAAGTTAAAGCTAAAATTTCGGTCAGAACCCAGGTTGTTCATATGTCAGACTGGTAGTAATTCAAGGGCCCACTGTAGCTGGAGCACAAAGAAAGGCAGATATCTGAGTTTTTAAAAAAATGTTACTACTATAAATAATTCTAGTTTTATAGCTTAAAGACTGGGAAGCATGAATACATTTAGTACACCATAGATTCAGCAATAATGAGTATCACAGCTATATGAAACCCTTTGTCCCTTAATTTAGTTATTTACCAAGAACATCTTTTAATAAAACATTACTGTTTTTCCCACAGAAAACTTAACCTTTTGATGATGACCAATGTAAACATATCACAATAACATAAGAGCAATGTTTATTGGGATGTGTCTCCCATAAGACTATGGATATTGGGGTCCCATCAGTAAACAAAGACTGAAATAAAATATTTCCAGGCAACTTCTCCTTTTTAAGTCTTAATTATCATAACAAATCTTTCAGATGGCCTATGAGAACCAGACCATAACAATTAACATCATTTTTGACCAATGAAAGATTCCCAAGTTATTGTACACAGACAACAATACATTTGTAAATCCAGTCCTTACATCATTTTGATCAACTGGAAACCTGGGTGGAAGCATGTCCTTAACTCTAATAACATTTATCTATAAGCCAACTTAAGTTATAGATAAATATTTTTTAAACCCAAGGGGCCGGGGATTTAGCTCAGGGGTTCGGTGGCCTGCCTTGTAAGCACAAGGACCCAAGTTCAATCCCCGGTTCCAAAAATATAAAAAATA